CACGCTCGCGAACGGTCGTTTTCTGCATCCGCTCATTCAAGCGTTCGCTCGGCTTCCGACGATCTTCGATTCGATTCGAGATCGGATCCATCGTCTCGCGTTGTACCATCCACGTCGCATCGGCGACGGCGATGCATTTGTAAACAAAGCCCGGTTTCGCGATTTATTTATTCCTTCTATTAACAAGAGTATTCCCGAGAGAGATTGACTTCCGCTTCTTTTGAGCCGCGCTTGAAGAGAAGTAGAAGAAGAATTTCCCGGATAAACGTGGCAGTGATCGTTACAAGCGAGCGAGCGTTTTGTTTGACGGACGGAAGTGAATGTGATTCATTTGATGCTCGAAACTAAACGAAGGGGGATGCCGGGAGGTATCTTCCCTCTAAGTAAATTCCATATATCTCAGTAGTCAGATCCAAATTTCTCCCACTTCGGCTGTTAACATTCACGAATAGATAACCGGGTAAATTATGAGGTAACTTCGAGGCCCGCGGTGATGATAAGTCATGTCGTCGGCCGGCCGATAGCCAGCCGTGGGGATTGTAGCTAATGCATGGCGATGATGTTCTAATTTCACCGAACAGTGGTCCGATTTCCCTTGTCGACAACGAGGCTGATATTCGTGAATTCCGTCCGCCCAAGGATTAACGGCCGTCACAAGGCCGGTGAGACATCGGTGCATGGGGGACGATCGTCCAATTGTTGATCTTCTTCCTCGAAGAAATCGAGGGATTCCGTCGGTTAGAACTTGACGAGTCGTAAAACGCAAATAGCTTGTAGGGATGAGGGGAGACCAGTGGCGCGCTCGCCAGTTAAAATCAAACTTGCACGGTAACGCGGACACGTCGAGAGGAAAGAGTGGTTGCCCGCGTCGGGAAAACATCGTAAAAGGTAAGAAAGTAGAATCTGCGTTTATTCCAGTTTCATCGGACGTCGATCTTCTTTCCTATTTTTCCAACGTCAATACCTACGAATGAGTGGCTGTAAAGTCGACGCTCTTAAAAATAAAACCGGTATAAAGCGGTGAATATAAGGAAATTATAAAAATTATAAGAGGGAGGGGGAGAGAGAGAGAGAGAGAGAGAGAGAAGGGCAGACGCGCTCACGTAACAATATTATCAGGGGAATGTCTTCAAGAAGACAGCTGCTTCTTCTCCTTTGTCTTGGCTTTCGCTGCGTCTAAAGGCCCGACAAGGTGGTATTAGCGAACGCCTCGCAAACGGCATTAACGTTTACAACAGGAAACAACGTTTCATTCCAGCCACCCACGTTATGAATCAAGAGTTTAATAAACGCGAATACAATACGAGCCGATATTCATTATTCGCGTCGAGTGAAGAGTATTTCTTCAATGATGTAGCTCCAACGATGTAACTCTGATAAATTTTCGATTCTATCGGTTTTTGAAATAATGCATAAAACACACACACACACACACACACTTGATTGAAAAATATCATTTCCCCGGCCATAATTGAAATTTCAACGATAATTGCGAAATCGTCAAGGCTGACCTTGGGATCATTATCGAACGGATGCGAATGGCGCGGAGGATGCGTGGACCACGACGAGCGAGATATGTAACGGCAATGAGTCAGAGATTATGCAGCTGCTTACCGGGTGGACCTGATAAGGGTAATGTATGGCGTGATGGAACGGCGTTAACGTGAATCACTATAAATTATAATTTCATGACTTCCGCGATTAATTCCCGACGAGGGAGCTGTGAGACGTCGGAGATATCGAAGCGCGCGCGTGCTGCGGGGGTGGACGGTCCAGAAATTTCGGCCCAAAGTCAAGGACTCATTACAGCTGTGTTATCTTGGACGAATTGGGGTCATCGTCGATTCGGTCTTTCCTCTTTCTTTTCTCGTTTGCTATTTTTTTTTTCTCTTTCGTCTCATTCCGCACCGACCTTCGGCCGCGCATCGTTAACACACCTTCTCGTCGGGATTAAGCAGCGTCGAACCGCGCGGTACAAAGGAAACGGGTCGCGGCAATTCGGTCAAATGTACTTTCCCCGACCTATTTTTTTTTTTTTCGAGGCTCCGTGTTTTGGACTTCGAGATATACGGGGATATGTCCGCGTGGACATATTTCGATTGCTTGGCAACGATGCGCGATACCGAAGGGACGAAGTTTCCAAAGGCGCGTAATAGTAAACATCGCGCACGAGTGAAATCCCAGCCCACATCGATATTTTTATCAGATACAAACGTATCCCCGTAGTTTTGCGCGCGGATCTATATGTGCACCGTCTCTTTCTGGGATTCGAAAAAGTTACGCTTGAACGGGCGTGTATTCGAGATCGCATCGACGGTCGTGTAATAACACTGAAAGATCCGAGCGTCAAGGATGAAAAATAGCTGCACTGGATATTCAACCGCTTCGCTCTCCGAAGTGAGGAAGAAAAGTGCGCGGGTATGAATATTATCCTATCTAAATAGCGAACCCGGCGGAAATAAACAATCGCGCGGGCGGAAATAAACAATCGTGCCGTCCGAGGACGGCGATTGCCGAGCGAGCGCGCCGGCGAGGATTAGGATCAGGATTTACCCGCGCGGGTCCTCTTTTGTAATCCCTCAACGCGGACGCGCTCGAAGTAATAAAGCGACGGTTGCGCACCTTGTTGATTCTTACGACGCCATATCGCTTTACTGCGTCCCAATGAATAGAGGGACTCCGCGTCGGTGACACCACGTTCGGATTACCAGCTTCCGCGGGACGGGAGATTCTCTCTCGCGCGCGCGAGGGAGTGCAGCATTCTCTCCATATTCATCGCTCTATTAAATGATATGTCCGCGCAAAAACGGACCTCCATTACGTGATTGCCCTCCAATAGGGAAGTAGAGCCTCGATACAGCCAGACCGTGATTAGCTTGCCTATTCTATGCAATCGGCCACATTTGTTTGTTTGGTTGTATAATCCCAAAGTACAATTCAAAATTAATTAAAAAGAGGTTCCAATTTGTCGGGCAATTAGAATGATTATTTAAACCTTAGTCAACATGTTAATTTCGCGATAATAATCTTAACGTTACAGGTGTCGTCAGGTGGATCTATAAAATCCGGCGTCGGAAAATTTCAGTGAAGAAATTTAACTACGCGGCGCATTTTGTACAATTTCCGAAGATCCGACTTTTCTCACCGAGCAGCGTAATTATGTTGACCTTCGAGATAGATTTCACCGTTAGATTTCATATGCCATAAGCAGATGTAATAGTTGGGAAAAGTCAGTTCATCAGCAAGATTACACTATTACTACGGAATTGGGCCGCTAGTTACCGGATATGTATATATAACGTGGAACGTCCTTCCCGAAATCCCAATTTCATTGGGGGGGGGGGAAAGAGGGGAGAGGGGGGGAGGGGGCTATAATCCGCCGTGCGCAAAACGCCCATCGATATGCATGTAACTGTGTGCGCATAATCGTCCGGTACGAGACGAATCGACGATGGGGAAAACGCGAGGATACGTGTCCGCGAATATATCTATGTTGAGGAGGGTTAAGCCCATTTCGAAATAATACTTCGATTACTGCAACAGTTCGAAAGATTTATTGCAAAAATCATTATGAGCATGGGTCAGTAATTATCTTATCATGTCACCTATGATTTTGCGTTGCGACAGCTTCACAGATTTCTCACGATTATTCGAGCTGAGAAGCGAATTTCGTGGTCGACGAAAAACTTCTTACTTATACATATGTAATAACCATATGTTTCTATATGATAATCTGGCTACCGCGATTCCGTTTGCAAATAGTTCACCCGGCCATAATTCGTTCTCCATCCACGGCACGCCGCTTACGCAATCGAAAATTTAATTAATCGCGATCTCTGGCCGTGCGTTGATTTCGTTGAAGCACAAATACCTAATAGGATAATATCGCCTGCAAGCTCAGATGCCGATAAGTGACAATTCCGTTTTTTTTGGATTCACCCCTTCTTAACGAACCGTCGCCATTTTTCTCGTTAAAATATCGTGTAACGAGAAACTACGTAACGCCTTAATTTAAAATTATTCAGCGGGCAAAACGTTCAACGAAACAGTATCTATTGTAAATGGAAATGTTTGTAATAAATGTGTTTCGCTTTGTGACGTTAATTAAAACAATCTTCCATTATTAATTAGAAAGAAAAGAAGAGAACGCTCTTCTCAGCTGAGTTGGCGGCAACTGAATTTATTCGCGAGTGAGAGTCCTCGTAACGTTTTTTTATATCTTTCGTGACAATAAATGGTCCTCGAAAGAGTTACCAATTTCTCGATTGTACGAGCACGTATTGCATCCATATATAAAAAAACCTATAGTGGTAGTTTCATTAAATGGTATGTAATTAAATGTGCCACGTCGAGCGTAAAAATTTCCGGTGAACGAAATGCGCGCATGTAAAGTGCGATGCGTAAAAATCGCGTTAACTGTATGTATGTACACTTGTCAGCACTTAATTAAGCAATCTTAATGGTTCTGCAAAATGACGCCTACGACCAGTTGCTATTAACATGAGGCATAATTTTTTTATTGAGTAGTTAAAATGTTTTAACAAGAGGTATAAACCGAAAACTCAAAACGTTATTCTTGAGAATATTTTCATTTTCACTGCTCATAATTTCCACGAAAGTGGTTGGTACCAATTGGAAAACCATTGAATATTTTAAGATATCCAATGACTCATGTGTCAACAATCCAAGGATAAAACTGAACCTTCGTGACATGTTCCGCTGCGTGTATTTAAGTACGTCCTCGTATACATCACGATTCCTGAAGAGATTCACAGTACGCAGTTTCGGGCGAACTTTCGGGCACCGCCTCCCTCCAAACTTCGCAAACGCAGCTATCACGCCCTAACACGTTTTCAAACTCGCAAAATCAAACCGCGCATTGTTTTGATGTATAACGCAAATTCGCTTCGGGGATCTTCGTCAATATCGATTTTTTCCCCGCGGAAGATCTCACTTCTTTGAAAATGAGAACAACTTTGACTCTGAACAGCAACACTCACCGATGCAGACGACGAGCGCCACGGCGAGAATCGGCGGGAAAGCCCTCGCGGACGAAAGCATGCTGGCGGCTGGGGTCTCTCAGCGAGAATGGGACGAGGGATAAACACCCACGGCAGAGACGAAGAATCACTCGGCCACTTTGGAGCGTCCACGCGGGGCCACGAGGGTCGAACTGACCGTGCCAATCGGTAGGGGTGGGACTGAAAAGATGGTGAGACGGTGGCCCGCGCCGAAAAAACGGAGAACGAAAGGAAAAAGGCACTGCGGGCACCGCAATTATCCTCTCTTGCGCGACCCGCTCGTTCGTCACTGGTAACCCCGCGATTATACGTGGTCCACACCCTCGACTAACACCGAGGATCAATCTCGATCCCCCACTGGATACGGATCTGGGTCGCGCGAATAATCTTCCTCTTCTTCCTTTAAAAATATTCCTCAATGATGTTGCCTCCGCGTGCGTTCGGCGCGTCACATCCGCGCCTTACTTTACTTTTCCTCTTTGCCTCTTGCCCCCCCTCTCTTGTGCATATATACCACCGCGCGATTAATCGACAGAGAGCGTTCGCGGGTGGTACCCCGATTCTCGATGGGTGAGGCAATCGGGGGCAGGAGGAGGGTGGCTTTTTACGGGGGAGGCGCGTTCTCTACCTAACCGTACGTCTGTTGCGGCGCCAACGTCGGACTGACTTTCTCTCTACGTTACGGCCGCTCTGCAGCAGTGGCGGCGCGCCGTTCCGCGCCGGACCGCGTCGTCGCGCGGGTACATCCCGCGTCACGTGTGCGCCCGTGGGCGTGCTCCGGATGCAGCGGCCCGCCGTCGCCGTGTCGTGGTGCGAAGGGAACCGGAGAACGCGCCCGCGGGCCCCCGACGAAGTGAATGACGCTCTCTCAGATCGGGGAAGTCAGCCCGACGCGTGTCGCACCATCCGTTTTTACCATATTTTCAGAAATTTATTACGACGGAGCAACGTAATGCTGCCTTCTTATCAACACCTTCCATTTGACTCCTAAACCTAATTCGGATCAGTGTCGACTCGGATGCGAGTATCCCTCTCGTAGCATCGATTCGCGATTTGGAACTGTCCAAACGTAAAAGCCCAATTTGCAGCGGTTTATAGTGCTGAAGGGATGAAGTTTAATCAAGTCGTTTTATTTTTTCAGTAATCAGTGAGCGTGGTTCTTACCGAAAAAAATCCGGCTTAAATCCGACGAAAGTCAACTTTTCCGGAAAAACGTCATTTAAAATTTAACGCGTTTAAATTTAATAATGTTGTAAATGTATTGGTCGGACTTTAATTCAAGAAACTGACAATACCAAATGCGCATTTCAATTCGATTTGACTTTGAATTTGTATAATAAATTTAAAGCTTAATTTTCTTTTTTTATTTTATTTCCTCAAAACAAGTGGAGAAACTAAATGAGAAAAACAATATGATATAAAAGAGATAAAAGAAAATGTAATATAAAATCCCTTTCTTTAAAACTCGACTTGTACCTCAACTTTAAAAATAACGACCTCAAACCGGTTTCAGTGAAAAATATAAATGGTTTGTACACATTAGAACTGTCAAAACGTAAAAGCTCAAAAATTTATAAGTCAGGTCAGAGAATATTTATCTTCCAACAAAGATATTCATGTACAAATAAAACGATGGAAGTTGAACATTGCATCGATCAATATTCTGTCGCAATTTATCGAGATAGCGATCACCATTGCTCACCATTACTTGCCTCTGGACAAAAATTATTCGTTTCAATGAAATAATTTTTCGTTACTTTTATCGCGGCAATAGCGAACCAATACGTAATTAGGGAGCTTACTTATTGAAGATAGAAATTTTTGTATAGGATTAAGAAAAACGCTCCTTCCGAAAAACACTCAACATCCATTCCGTTTTCAAAAGAAGTCTCTTCCGAGAAATTTTTGCCCGAACGAAATTACACGTCGCCAATAAATACAACGCTACGGCGCGAGGTAAAAGAAGGTCGACGGGGAAAAACCTAGGAAACGACTTCCTAGGTGAATTACATTCTTCCGTGCGAGATGATACATTTCACCCGCTGTCCTTCGACGAAGCTGTAAACGCGTTTCGTGCTCCCCATCACGCACTGCAGCGCGTACGCCGGTTTACATATCGAGTTATTGCAGTATGTATTCCCGCGCCCGTAGTTATCGGGGAGTGTATACAATGTGTGCGCGTGCATATAATGCGGCAGCAACATAGTGCCATGTGGCATCAATCATAGGATTTCCTGCAGGTGAAAGGCCAGTCAGTTCCCTCTGCGCGAATTCGCACCCCTTTCTCTCCCCCCTCCCACTCACTCTCCTCTATCTCTCGCCCGTTGTTTTTCAGATTTGACTATCCCTATTAAAATTCGGCAGGTTTTGGGTCTTGGAAAAAAAAAACCGGAAATAGAGAATGGCAAGTATAACGGAAATAACAAGAAAGAGAGATCGAATTTTTATTCAGATATATTTGTGGAAAGAATAAAAAATTTTGGAATAAAAGAATTTTTATGAAAAATAATGGAATGTACATATAAATAAAATGTTGCGCCAATAAAATGCTAATCTATTAAGTTTTATTATTAGTTTTGAAGAGAGGTGGTAACTTTCTAAGCTGCGAAAAGGATATTTAAACAATAGACGCATATAACTTTTTTTTATCGCATTGTGCATCATTTATATAAGCGGAAAATAAAATGCGAACAAAGTGCAAACGTTCGTATATCGACTCTGCGCAGGATATAACGTTACTTCAATTGCACGCGATGGAACGTATAATATTCCATCGTAAAAAATATTATATTGCAGTGTCATTAATATTGTTTTGACTATTCTATTAGAAGTTTTCCAAGTTTTAGATTTCTACGAGCGATAGCATATCTCCCTATATACTAGAATACTGAAACAGCAGTGAAAGCCAGTTCTCCCTTAATTACTATCCAATTAATATTAACAAGAGATGATGGGCGAGATCACAATGTACTGCGCGTCTGTGGATAAAATATGAAATAATCGATGAACAAGAATATACGCTTGCGAACTGAAAAGTATAACAAAAAAATGGGCAGTTTTTATTTTTAAGCAAGTAATGCAACAAAGCGACTCTAACCAGAATCGAGTACCAAATATTGCATTCATTTTTTTATCAAGATATAAATTATAATAATAGTAATTAACGCTGATGATGACTCCGAAGAGAGTCGAAAGGTTCGTTTGTTCTTAATGTATTTAATTTTGTAATATGAATATTCATTGTTGTTAATATACACATATATGGGCACTAACAACTGCTTTATATTCTCATTAGCTTTTATTTAATTTGTATTTATTATTTAATATAAAAATGCAAATTATAATTTTACAGAGTTGCCAGAGTAGAAAAAAGCCAAAATCCCTTTAAACAGAATGCTTTAAAATACTTTTCATAATTTTTTAATGTGTCGCATATGTATATTAAGTATTGAAAATAAAGATACGTCATCCTTAAAGCGGAGAGCGCCAAAAGCGCGGAGCAAATTCTCTTGCGTGATTTTGTAACGCGCTCATACATCAGGTAATTATATATACGAACGGCTGAGAATAAAAAGATAACGTTTATACGTATGACCGCAGAGTTAAATCCTTTATTTATAATAACTCGTTTGTGTACACATCCGTAATGGGAATTAAATTTTGTGCATATATGCGTACGATCGAAATTACGGCACACCTTTCACCGTGAGCTTCACATTGTTTTGTGGAATATTTACGTTGTCGAAACATACGAGGTGAAATCGTTGATATATAATTTAATTCGTAAATGGGATATTTGATGCAATCAAAAAAATGCATTGCAACCGTCGTCCACTTACTCATACCCTATAGGATAACAATAATAAGATTAACTCTAGAAAACAGAAAACAGGATCTCTAGTATCTCTATACTTTAGGATAAAATTGGCTTCTATTTTTCATACTAATTTACATACTGAACATTATCTGTTTGTCCTATAAAACGTCTACAACTAGACTTAAGGCCAATCATAATCGATTAACCATACATAATCGATTATTCTTCTCACGTAAGATGAATAATCGACTATAACTGATCAATATTTTCTTAAATTTTAAGTCTTAAGTCTCATTGTAAACATAAAAAGGAGAATTCTCGAATATAAACCAGTCTCTTGAGATCTTGTAAACCATCACTTTCTTAATATATAGTAAGAAGAAATACTGTATCAAAACTGAAATAAATTTATTTTTTTAAATGAAATTATAATATTCGCAAATCTTACAGTATAAAAGATCTCATCATGTCCGTTCAAAAGAGCAAAATTTGCTTTTAACTTGTAGGTCATGTGATGCAACTTTATCTCAGGCCTCTAATATAGAAACGGTGAAGAATGATCTCTTGATCAATGAAAGAGAGTCAATATAATATAATATAATTCGTCAATGATTCGATAACGAGCCATTGTTGGATCTACTATTCATAACATCTACATTCATATACATCTACTATTCACAACATTTTATATCAAGAAAGAAAATTAATTAAATTCCAATCAAGAAAATATCTTACGATTGTAGAAGTATTGTATTTTCAATGGTGCGTGCACATCTTTTAAATTTAAAAAAATATAAAAAATGACAATCACCATTCATATTTTGTTGGCACTTCCTGCTGTTTTCAAATATGATAGAGTGTCGAAGATAAAAAAATGAATTAAATCGCGTGTCATTAATCGCGTCTGACGGATTATTAGCAAGAGACCTGAGTGAAGCTGATGGCAGCACGTTCTTGATCTTTAGCGACCAGCCGATTACTGCCGCAGCAAACCAGTCAGACCAGACTGGACCAGACCGACTCCCTCTGTCGGTTTCAGCTACGCTACCGACAGAGGCGGCAAAGATCAATGACTGCAAAAGATGAAAGGCGGCACGCCGGCGTTTGCAGGTCTCGCAACGGCTCTGTATAAGTGACGACACCTAGGCTCACCTGCTCAGGGTCGTTGCAATACTATCGAGAAAATTGGAAAAATTCAAGGAATTTTTTTCCATTGAAGAACATAAGAGAATTCCCATCAAATTATTGGAAAACTATAATTTTGATTTCCATCGCATTTTTCATTAGAAGCACAGTTATTTCTGTTTCTTTTTAAATACTAAGACCTCGTTATTTTAGCAGACTTATCTCATTAAGACCGCGTTACTTTAAAAAAATCAAAGTTTACGTCCATTTTTTTAATGACATTTTAAGAAAATTAAATAATTATTATTACATTCTCTCAATTGATTATAATTTTTTTTATTATTATAAGTAAGTATAAAATATCTCGAAGAATCGATAGTCAAACATCGATTCGAACATTTCGCTTGCGATTTGAATATCGTTCACCAGGAGTTCCGCTTTATCATCGATAACGGCTTCGACGCATCGCCGCAACAACATCGATACCGTTTCCACTTCGACTATCATCCCTAGGTAGAAGTGACAACGGGAATAGTGATAGCGTATGGTAGCAGCCGCCGTGAATGGGCGGCCAGAGTGCAACATGGCGGACTGCGAGTCGGAGGTGCACCGCTTGCCAGCCGTGAACCAGGACGGCAGTGCGAGGAACGTGACGGCGGCCGTGACAATGGTGAACAACAACGCGCGCGTACCGCAGCATCCGCCGGCCGCCGGACCGGACAAGGACCCGGTCGGCCAGGGGCCGCGGTGCGTAACGATCTACAAGACGGAGACGGGCTTCGGGTTCAACGTACGCGGCCAGGTCAGCGAGGGTGGACAACTGCGGAGCATCAACGGCGAGTTGTACGCGCCGCTGCAGCACGTCAGCGCGGTGCTACCGCGAGGCGCCGCCGAGAAGGCCGGCGTCCGCAAGGGCGATCGTATCCTGGAAGTGTGAGTAGAAGGATCGTGTGATCCCTTCCGCCCGCGTTCCCGATCCGCGCCTCGCCGCCTCTCGGTGAACCATCTGCAGGAGAACGCTCGACTCCCGACGAAAAGTCGCCCTGACGAAAACGCGAGGTGCGCTCCGACGCGACACCGACGCGGCTCCGATTACGAGAACGCTCTACGTCAAATTGCGCTGGAGTTCAAACTGGAGTAACTCATAACTGCAGCCCGAAGAGAATTAGACGCGCGAGACGCCGCGTTGCTCTTGGCGCGTTTTTAAGTAAAGACCCGATGTTGTGGATGTATTTTCACGCGAGTACTAAGAATATATTTGACGAATTCTGAGGTGCTGTTAAATGAAAGATTTGCAAAAGGGATGACGTAGGAAACAAGGATATATATTATATATCATAGATAGATCAACACGTTTCGATGCTCGAAAATAAAGTCAAAGTTTAATTTTTGTACTCCATCAGGAGTTATTACAAATTACTGAAGATTCAACTATTATTTTTATACTCTCAATATTTATAAAATTCGTTTTTGCTTTCTGTATAACATGTGCTGCATTTAGTCTTATTATCACATACAGTGGTGATAATAAGAAAGATATGCATGTAAGAAACGTAGCACACTTTTTTCACAAGGAGAATAATATAATCTCTCGAGGCTATTAAGCGAAAGATTTGCAAAAGGGATGACGCAGGAAACAAGGATGTATAGATCAATGCGCTTCGATACTCCAAAATAAAGTCAAAGTTTAATTTTTGTAGTCCATCACGGATTATTATAAATTACTGAAGATTCAACTATTATTTTTGATACTCTCAATATTTATGAAATTCGTTTTTTCTTTCTGTACAGCGTGTATTTGTACTTGTTATCACGTATAGTGATAATAAGAAGGATACGCGTATCAAGAAACGTAGCACATTTTTCTTCAGGAAAATAATCATCTTTGAGACACAATTTTTTTTACATTGAACATAAATATTTCCATAAATTCAGCGATAAAAATGACAGCTTCAACTTCTAGATACTATTTGACACTGTTTTTAAAAATCATTTATCATTTTTATAGCACATAACATTTATTTTCCTTGTCAAGAAAAATTTACATTAATTTTATTTATTAGTAATTAATTGTGGAAAAGAAAAAGAAAAAGAAATGTATAAATGTATTAAATGAAATTCAATAGACCTTAATGATTCTGAAAAATAATTATAACTTGTGTGTTCTCTTAAGTCGAGGAAATCGTTTTACTTTATGTAAAGTTTAAATATGAAAAAAAAACTCGAAATTTACAAACAACAATTTGCAAATAACTGTTGTTATTATGCCGTTTAAACATTTTCATCTCGAAAAATCTCAGTAAATGCGTCTGCGACCCCACGCATTGTTCTTTTAAGGATATCTAAATGTCCTTCGACTTGTGAAATGCGATTACAAATGGATCTGAATCTTTACATTCGCTTGACAATCGGAATTTCGCGTTTCGCTTACGCGATCAATTATTAATACGCTACGTACGTTCAAAGTACGTATTAACGTTTATTTAAGGTACTCCATGAGGACACATTAATCGCTCGCCATCTGTATGCATATTCATCGAGGATCAGTTGCTTATATAGCCGCGCTTGGCAACCGAGTCCCGCTCGGTAGCGTGTATGTGACTCCTCAAGGATTACAGCTCTAGCCATCGCACACAGACGTAAAAGGGCAGATTTAGATAATCTTCCAATGCACTCTGATCCCCGGTGCGCTCAGAAATCTTTTAAGATATTAACGATCTTTTAGAGAGCGTTTTAACGTAAATTATCTTCTTTATCTCTTTCTAGAAACAGGACTATAGCCTGACTCAACTGACGTCGAGAATTTTATCGCGTTCTGCGTCAGGAATATATCGACTAGTCGAAATTTTCGCTTTATCGTGGGGCTTATCAGAAAATACAGGGGCGTCGCCTCGGGCGTCGCAAAGATACAAATTACACATTGCGCGTATAAACTTTTGGACGGGATAATCGTCGGAGAGGACTATCACAACGCTAACTGACGTCGGCGAGATAGAGTACTCCGAGAGAACGGTGCACACATACACGTGAGCGTGTATCCGCTTTGCAAATTCTGATGTAAGAACGATAAAAACAAACGTGCACGATGCGTGACGAACGATATACGTTCAGTTCTGTTTGACGTTCTCGTTTGCGAAGCTTAACAAACGCGACAGTTGCAAAATTTATCGTGGTCGCAAGCTTCAGACCGATTCCCAATCGTATATATAGACTGGTCAATTTCAACGAATTTCTCGCTATTTGTTAACCGATTAGCTGTCACCAGGACGAATCAATGTCTTATACGGGAAGAGAATGTACCAGAGATACCTTCGAATCTTATCTCGCCAGTAGTTTCATTTATCTCTATTTTTTAATCCGACATATATAATAAATAGATACACGCGCCTCAGAGTTATTTCCCTCGACTCACGTTAACGTTGAAAAGATCGCGATACCTAATTATGATAAACGCGACGCGCGCGAACATCTTTATCCCCGTGAATTAACTGTTACTTACCTAGCCAAACTGTCTGAACTCGCCCGGTGCATTTACAATTTTCGTCAGCGCGGGGTCGTTAGCGCCGTTGGATTTGCATACCCGATCATTAGCCACGTACCCTGTGCGCTCGGTGGCGGAACCTCTCCCCCCGTCTCCCCGTGTTCCGTTTAATTAAAAGCTAATTTGCTTAAAACATTACCGCCTCCGTCCCGGTCGAACTTATTTGCATAGAGTTTTATTTGATGATGTACACTGCATACACCCCGTGCGACGCGCGCGGCTCATCCTTGATAAATTCGATTTGCTACGACGACGTTATACAGGCGGTAACGCGCGGAGATAAAGTCGCGCACGTAGGAATTGAAAGCCGATGACACATCGCATCGATCTCGTGGAAATTTTTCCGCTTTTTCCGCGACGCTTGTTTTAGATAGGTATGACGCAAATGTGACATCCAGTAGGATTAAATAAAGGGCCACGCGCGCGCGCGCGCCGCGCGATATCTTTATTTCGATAGCAACGGAGTCGACTTACGATTAAGAGAAGCCGTGTGCACAAGGAAGGAAAGTGTGGCGATATCCGATACTATCGGTGTATCGCACTTAACCAGTCTTGACGAGATTAAGCAAATCCTGACCGTTTGTCACGGCGTATCCGCACGTCGGCGATTGGTGTGCTGTGACAGAGTCTGATATGTTTACGGCCCTCGCATGCAGGTCCAAGGTTCCTGTAAATTCCGCGCGGTTCAAGGACGCGGGTCTTTCGAGGGATCCATCGATTTCAGCAACGTCGTTTTGCGCAGTTTCTCATCTCCCGCGAAAAATCGAAAGGGAACCTTCTCCCTCCTCTTTTGCCTCCCCACGGCTCTCACCGGCAACCCAACGACGCCTGAAGGAGGTCTCGCCGAGATTCTCGCTTCGTCACGTCCTCCTCGCGTATACCCTCTTCCCATTAATCTCGGCGTATATCATCGCGCGAACACCGATCGAACACACTCTTGCTTTCACTCGTCCAATTTTGCGGTTTCTACCGTCTACACTCCGGCTTCTGCAGCCTACTACCGCTCGCAGCGTAATCTGATTTCATTGTTAGAGGATTTTTAAAATTGAATAATACGTTTTAAAACTTCTGCCGATGTTCTTTTTATCTTTATATATCAGTAATTTTTTTCCAGCGATAACTGTCGTTTATGTAAGAGTTTTAACGATAATCGAGCGAGCTATGCGCTTCCTGTTTATCTATTCATATTCTATATGACTTCTTTTCTTACGTTCTCATGTTAATGTCCTTAAGAGGCTTGCTCGTCGTATGGTTTCCACAAAAGTTGTTTTACGCGCGCATTACGTAGCCTCGCCGCGCTGAAACGTGTTTTCGGATCATCGAGGAAATTCAATACTTGGCCAATAAAAACAACTATCTCGATCGAAAGTCAAGTTGAATTAAACAATGGACCATCATCGCGGCGTTAGCTCGAGATCGCCGGTTCGACGGTGGCTCTCGTTTTAACGAGCGACGATAAGTGAATATTACACAAAAGGATGCCGCTCTCGCCGCGTGCATCCGATAAAACGAACAGTCATTCGTTCGGAATTGCGTTCGATCATTAAGCCCCATTAGACCATTAACTTAGGCGCGAATCATTACGCCTCGCTATACGCCTTATTGTCTCGATCGCCGCGCGATTAGCGGGTCCCGGACGTGCCTCGCGAATGAGTTTCGGACGGCAGACACGGTCACGGCGTAATCCGCTCACGATCACGAAGAAAGGAAGCGCCGCGTGTGTATCGTCGACAACAACACGCACTCGAATGCTTATAAATATCATGCGTCTGTGTGCCCGCGACGAGTGCCCACACACTCTCGCTCGAAGCGCATTATCTTGTAGCAGATTAGCATACATGTAGTGTGCCGTTATTGACCGATCGCCCGGTCTAATTTCGTAAGCGGACGAAAAGTATTTTTCGACACCATATATTCAGCGCCTTAATACGTGCGCTTTAATCACGCGCCGAAAAAGAAAAGAATCTATATTTAGCGAGTGCAATGCCGGCATTCGCGCTTGACGCTGTGCTCGAATCGAATTAATGCTTCGCGCAATTCTGACTTCAGCGCTTAGTGCAATGCTCCCGTGTGCGCTGCGGTCAAATTCAAAGCCCCTCTTCAAATCCGGTATTTAATATATATACTGTGTATAGCAATTAAATTGTATATTACGTATATAAAATTTGTTACGTCAATATGTTTACGTTTTAAAATTTCATTACAATCGTGTAAGATGTGCGATAAGCGGGGCAATCGGCGATCTCGAGAGCCCGAGAGGTCCAGACGATAGATAACAGCCAGTTCCCACCCGGTACGCATTTCGAGATAGCAAAATGTTATAAAGTGCGCGACGCGCCTTTCCTTGAATGCAGACGTGGAAATCCGTGGCGGGTCGACATTCGTCGACCTCCGGGGAGAGCCGTGCCTCCGCGTGTGAACCAATCGCGTCGGGCCTTTCACCGGTTGGAATTCGAAACTCGTGCTAAAAAAGGCCGATTACCGGTATCCTATTCCCTTTCGACTGGCTACAACTGGCGGTCGAGAGCCGCCGACAACGACGTGTCGCGCGAAAGCGAGATTGGCCGGACCTCGTCGCGACCTCGTCGAAGGCCTGCCTGTTGCTCCTTTCGTCGGCGGAGAGTCACCGCCGAAGGAACCGGATGTGCGTCGCGCGCAGATCGTCGTTCACCCGCGAATCTCTCGCGATCGCGCGATCGCCCCGTGAATAAAAGTTACGCGCACGTCGCGGTTCAGCTTGTGATTAGCGCGCTATACGGCGCGATAAGAACGTGAAATATGTTGACGTGTTACATGACTGCGCTGCAATGCGAGTGGATCGAGAATCGCAGGCGGTGGAATTCCGCCGGTGCGCCGCAATCGCAATTGAGGTCGGTCGAAGTTGCGAATCGCGTGTATTATACGACAAGTGTATCGGCGACGCGAGGGGAACGTGTACGTATCACGCGAGTGGTAATAACGACGTCTTTCTATTTGCAGGAACAACGTCAATGTCGAAGGCGCCACTCACAAGCAGGTGGTAGATCTGATCAAATCGGGCGGCGATGTCCTCACCCTGACCGTTATTTCCGTGACGCCGCAGGAAGCGGAGAGGCTGGAGCCATGCGAGGATCTGAGGTAAAGGAGACAATATACTCTTGGAAGTCTCGCGCTATTTCGACGCGAGAACTTGAAACTTGATACGTTTGATGCTCTCGATATCGTCGAAATATTTCACGATTATCTCGCCGATAAGACATTTGAAATAACAGCAACTCTGATAGTAAGTGGCAATCGTGCAATCTATCTAGATTGATCGATTAAAGCACACATACGCGCGCGCGCGCGCGCGAGTACATTCACATCAGCGTTATGAGTGCGTTATATTTTTGTTTAGCTACGCGTCGGTGGACTACAGCGAGAAGCGATCTCTGCCCATCAGCGTGCCGGATTATCACGTCCGCGAGAGGAAGCACGAGCGTTACGTGGTCTTCAACGTCCACATGGCCGGCAGGCACTTGTGCTCGCGCCGGTACAGGGAATTCGCGGCGTTGCATATGGCGCTGAAGAAGGAGTTCATAGGCTTCAATTTCCCGAAGCTACCGGGAAAATGGCCATTCCAGTAATGCCCTCACGCTTAATTTCGCACGCCGACGCGCGGATCGACGTCGCGTCGCGGAATGAATGGGTTCCATTCATTATCGCGGCGCGTCTCACAATCATTGCTTCACTGCGATCCTCGCGTTTTGCATGTTTCTTCTTGCGCAAAAAAAAAAACTCCGATATACATCTCTTACGCATGTATCTCGGAGAATAAGAATTTCTTGTTCGCGGTTGTAGATTGAGCGAGCAGCAGCTTGACGCGAGAAGACGCGGTCTGGAGCAGTATTTGGAGAAGGTGTGCGCGGTGCGCGTGATAGCGGAGAGCGACGCAATGCAGGAATTTCTGACGGATCGGCTGGAGGAGGACGGCGACCAGGGCCCGGCGGTGGATCTCAAGGTTCTGCTGCCCGATCGCGAAGTCGTCACCGTCACCGTGCCCAAGGCGGCGTCGGTGAAGGATGTCTACGACGCGGTTTGCTGCCGAGTCGGCTTGGACGCGGAAACCGCGAAGTACTTTTACCTGTTCGAGATCGTCGAGTACAATTTCGGTATGTGCCAAAATGTGTCTGTTTTATCCCTCATAAATTCCGAATAAATTTACTGCGAACTTATCTGCGACTTAACGCGACTATTGTGTTGCAGAGAGGAAGTTGCAACCTCACGAACATCCGCATACTTTATACATTCAGAATTATTCGACTGCCAGCGCAACGTGTTTGGCGATAAGGAGGTGGCTCTTCAATGTAAATAGGCCTCTAAGCGAGCAGGCGTTGACTTGGATATTTTGGCAAACAATCGACGAGGTGAACAGGGGTCACATCACCGCGGGAGAGCGGTTGTATCAGTTGAAGGCTCTGCAGGACGCGTCGAGAAAGCACGAGGTTCGTACCTCCGAATGAAGAAAATTGACTCATAAATCTCAGATCACACAATGGTAAATGTTGCGTTTTACATTGAGATCTTACGTTTGTGTGCAGTATTTGAAATTAGCGAGGGAACTTAGTGGGTACGGCGACATCGTGTTTCCGCATTGCGCGTGCGACTCGAGGAAGGAGGGCCATGTGATACCGGCGGTGGGCATGGCGGCCTTCAAGTTGCACGCCGCGAAGGAGGACGGCACCCTGGAGTCGCAGGTGGTCGAGTTCCAATGGAGCACCATCGCCCGGTGGGAAGTGGACGAGGACGGGATGGCGTTCTGCTTCCAATACACGCGCCAGGACAATCGTCCGCCCCGCTGGCTCAAGGTCTTCACTCCTTACGTGAGTAACCCGGCCGATCCTTTCGCGAACCGCGAAACTTCACGCAGGCTCGCCTTCACTCGGTTCATTTACCCTGGTGATGTTGTGCTTGCAGTATACGTTCCTCTCGGATTGCTTCGATCGAATAGCCGAGGAAGCGAAGTGGGACGACCCAGGGGAATGACGTAACGTACGACGCTAAGAGGTATCCGGTGTTAATAAACGTTGCAGAGGGTCCTCTTTCACTGGATATCTCGCACCCGTCTCTTGGTAGTCGAAAACTTTTTCTTACTAGGATTAGGGCAGTTCTTTAGAAACGGTACCGATTTAGCGTAGTACCTTTAGCATATCAAATTTTCCATCAGTTGGCTTCGCCGAACATTACCAATGCTGTGCACCGAGAGAGCGTTTGCCCACCGGTTATCGTCGGAAGAGTCAAACGCATATACGATGTGTAGATACGTACATCCCAGTGAAACAAATGCTGCTACGAGAGAGACAAAATTCGATTGGATTACCGCGACGCTCGCAAGTGAGAACGGAATGTGATTGTATAAATTTAAACCTGGATTTTCGTTGTACGCCACGCTCGTCCATGACCTGGTGAGGGAGTCTTGGCGTAGCTAGAATTAGCGCGCAAGAAAAAAATAAATCTGGTTTTTATCGATATACGTACAGCTGGGACTTTTGTTTCGTCGATAAAACAACGTGCCGTTTTTCCCCTTCGTTACGACGAGCATGAAAATTGCGCACGTGATGGCATATAAGAGAATTACGTTAGTGTACAGATACGTATAATCTAAAATTATACTACGGGGATACGGTCGTGTCCGCCTAGAAACTACCTATCCTTCTGGCCTATGAATTATTATGTATACAGCACGCAACTCGTTTTCCGGCGAGAGAATCGATCGTCTTACGTAAAACGTTCCTCCTTGTTCGCCTAACGAACCCGAAACTCACTTTCGTTGGATCTACACGTTTAAAGGGCAGAAATGATTGCATTTTCTAATGTGCAATATTTTATAAATCAATAATCATTCGTCAATTTCGTTACGCAGGATATTTAAAAAAAAACGAGAGGCACCGCTTTCGCACGTTTGTAAAGGGATCTCAATTAGTAGTCGACAGCGCGCGTCCAATTTTATCGCTGTGGTAGATTTCACTCCATATATTCCTCGCGATTAAGAGCTTGTAAAATGAGACGCCAGAAAGTCTGGGACGTCCGAGAGAAAAGAAGAAATAGATACATATCACATTCATCGACGACTTTATCGTAAGCAGGATCGGCTATATTCTTACTTCCTCTTTCTTCTTTTTAAACTATCCTGTGTAACAAACGCGATTCCTATTAACGCACGCGTGGCTACGGCAGGTAACCACGTGTCCCGTAATCGATATGTAACGTATCGATCAGTCCTTTACACATTTTGTTAATTCATTAGTATGTATAGAGCATTAGCGTTGATACAAAGTAGAACAAAAAAAAAAGCTGTACATATTAACGTTACAAATATATACTTTTTTGAGAAGAAACTCATTATTGTCAGTTGTGTATAACATGTGTGTATGCGTGCGTGCGTTTTGATAAGATCGAGACAACGGCTCGATCGCAAGATGTGTAATAGCTGGGTGTTCGCGTATAGTAACTAAAAGTGATCGATTATCACGCGAACGATTGTGCGCGTGAATCGCAAGTGAATCGGATAAGTAAGAGTCGAGGACTATTTTTGAACCGACGTTCTCGATTGAGAAACTTTATCTCTCGGGCTACTCTCTTCCCCTCCCCCTCCCCCCTCTTTAGTGAATTTATAAAGATACTGTACAATAGAAAATGCGGCATTAGTGCTCATCTCTCGATTACGTAAGCGGGATTCAGCAAGGGAGGAGGAGACGTGAAAGAAACTCGGAACAATAATGTAATAAGGTCGCGTGGTTTCCTCTATTACCTTATACGAAGGCAGAATAATACTCACTAATAATGTTAAAAGAGATAATAACAAGCAAGTAAGAAATATATAAGGGTAACGTTGGCACATACTCTGCGCGTCGCGGGATTTTGCGAAAGGCCGCAAAAGGACGCGTTTGGCATTAGATATCCACAGTAGAAAGCGAATATTTGGAGCGAGTTCTCTCATGCACGTTAAGCTCATTATTTGGTATACGTTCGTTTTTTCTCTCTCTTCTTTTCTTTTTTTCTTTTCCTTATATAATGTATGCATCCTGCTTTCTCGCAGCGCTTAAATCCACTCGTTCTAAACATGTCGCTTACTTAACTGCGAGCAGTTCTCAGCAGATAATAAATAGACAGATAGATATATTATTACCGTTAACGTTTTTAAACTTTATTCATGGAGTGTCGAGCGCGTGCGACGAATGTACGGGAAATGTATGTGGCAATGTAAAATCCGAATGTAGTGAGAGAGAGAGAGAGAAAAAAATATATATATATGCTTGCGACAGAGCATAGTTATAATACTGTTAATGATAATAGAAATATAGAGCATAATATAGCGTAATTATAATCGAAGCGCGCGAATATCCGAGTGAACACACACATATAAGACGATCGATATACGATGTGATATATTCGCGCGTGCACCTATAGATATTCGATCGAGCGGACAAGACAGTTACAATAATGGTTTCTATTGTTTTGTCGATAGAGAAATAGAGAGAGAGAGAGAGAGAGAGAGAGGAGAGAGAAAGAGGCAGGTTTTGCGAGGGAATTGTGCAAAGTGATCTGAATTGTAGTTAGCAATACGTACGTTTGGAAACTGTGTTACTGGTGATAAAGTAAACCGAGTGAGAATCTTCGGGTGAGATCCACCCAACGTTTATATATAATTTAGGATCTATACAAATGAGGGAATTAGCGAATGGCAGCTCTATTGCAGTAATGCGTCTAATAATACTTCCGCACTATCTGATCTATTTGATCATGCAGGCGATATATCGAGAAACTCGAAGGTCTCATCGGTTATTATATTACCGGCGGCAAAAAGATTCTCTCGAAATACGCGTCGAGACTTTTCCGTGATTTTTTTTTTTCGATCGGTAAAGTAATCGAACGAATAATTTTCGGATCGGAAGAGAGAGTCTGTGGCGAAATAGGAGAAGCCACAGTGTGTTTAAAGAATGGCAATAATATGTATTTATAATGAATCTGCGTGTGTGTTAATTGGTAGAGTTAATTGGTAGCGGGTATTTTTCGAGAAAATGCGCGCGGGAAAGGGGGAGGAGAGCGGAGATGATGATCGCAGAGATACGTCCAAGTTGAATTGGTGACTTCTGATGCGAAAGATCTGAAAATAGTCGGATGATATTTTGTACAGTTTTTAAAAATTATCTTTATCTTGCAGTATTTTTATTGCGATTCGATCAACGCCTTATGACAGTTTTAGCGTCGTAAGTTGAACGAATGCGTCGAAAATTGTCTTTCATTTCTGAAGCTGTTCGATAAAAAAATTTTGCTTCTTTTTATTGTTTTTTTTTTTCTTGCGAGATCTCTCACTATATAGGAAATCAAGCAATTGTTTTGTTATCTCGTTAATTAGCGTGCTAACGAGTCTGTCAGACGCAGAATGGCGAATTAGATAGTTTAATTTAATTATTGTTATTACAAGACCATATCATTACGGTTAACTCTCTTTAGGCGTTAATTAAAATATTCTGTATAATCATAGTACGTAATAACAAATGCTCCAATTTACCGTATGAACATCAGTTTGCGAAAGCTGTACGTTTGCTGTAAAACTAGTGTTTCGACTTAGCGCGAGAGAGGTATTATTCGATTTCTTTATGAGCCATCTTGAGAAGCGTATAATAAAAACAGAAGAACTATAGAACTCTTTGTTTCCTGTGCCTCTTTTAATGGAGCCATCCTGCCTACTATTATTATAATTGCGCGTATCATAGACGAAATAACGCGACAGATAGAATCTATGCGCGATACAATTGTTATTACGCAACGCGAGTATAATCTGAAATGTATCTTATGACGCAAAGCGCACTCGCACACCATCACACACGAGCAAACGATTTCGAGATGAAATAACCGCGGCTGCTTTCTCAGCGCGCCGCGTATATTTGTTCTACGAAAAAGAAGAATCCAGATAGAATCTTGAAAATTTTCATCGCAAAATAGAGAATTATCAATGAGATCGCCGTGTCGTCTTTTTCCATTAACTCGCCGCGTTCCCAGACGTGGAATCAAACAATCTTGATTCGCGAGCAAATTGACAATAGGCTTATACATGTAAGCGCCAGTTTCACGAATGCCACGGGCCGGGGGAATTAAAACTCGCGTTGGAAATATTCCAGCGGAATGCGGCCGCGTTGCCCAAAGAAGAGGATAACGCGCGACATTCCCCATTATAATTACTGCAACACTATCTCAGATTAAAGTCCCCCCCGGTCGTAAACTATGTAAGCACAAACATACTCGTGGCGGATTGTATATTCGCGGCTACGCAAGATTACCGTATTCGCTAGTGTACGCAAAGTAAGATGTACGTACACTGATTCTATACGTAATATACTTTTGTACGTGGATGAGGCACACTCTCGCGTGTGCACGCGACCTCATATACGCGATACCGATACATGCAACGCGGTCTGAGAAGATATCGCTAAGTGGCCGTCGATATACGGAACGACAGATCAGTTTAAGACCACCTGCCCCGCAAGGTGGAACTCCTTTGTAGAGAAATTGTTTATCGGTGATCGCGAATTTAGTTCAATCACTGGCTTGGCGCTGAGAGGATTGTTGTAGCTTGAAAAAAAAATGGATCGTGTTAAAAGAAAGAAAAAGAAGACGGGTGGTGAAAAGGTAGTCGATTCAGTCGTATTTTATGTGCGAATGGGATTCCTTAAAACCTTGAAAATTAATATTTTAAAATATTAAAATTTAAATTATTCTTTTATACTTTATAATTTAGGAAATTTGAAAACGTTTTTATCTTTTTTTTTCTACGCTACTATAATAATCCATGTAATTATATTTTGCATTGTTGGTAGCAATCTTTATTGTATATTTAAAAAAACTTGAATATCTTATTATACAATTTTTATAACTCTTTCGCGATAAATCTTCTCTCAAAAATAATTAACCGCAAGAAATTTATAAAATTTTTATAAAATTATAATAAGATAAAGCAAATGTTATACAGTATTTGCGTTGGCCGTTATCTTGGTAAACGCAGGATGCTTACAAAAGATTAAAATCTTTTTTGATTTAGAAATATCCATCGTCTTATCGATGACGTTTGTCAAGATAACAGCTGAAGAAAATTGACAATCGCAATATTAAATTGGTGCATTACAATTGATATATTCTAGCTAATGTTAGGTTGCAAATTTAATTATTACAATTTAAAAAGGAGTTTAATAAAGCAATATAACCCGTTTGATTATAAGTCTAAATAAATGAATTAATTGTTTTATAACTATGTTTGACTTTCCACATCTATATAACTAACGTAATTCGTCTCGTTTGATTTACATTTATTTCATTATAATTTTTATTTAATATCTTGTTATAGAAAAAAAACAATTGTAGTAATAGAAACTTTTGACTAAATTTCTTTATTAGTGCTGATTATTCGATTTAAGCATTATTCAATTTAATGTAAACTTAAATTCCTTTTTTCATTCAAGGATCTTTTTTTATGTTTGCTCAAAGTCTAAAGATTTATTGCTTTCTTGTCAGTAAATGAGATATAGAACAAAAATAATTTGATAAATGATTCATTAATATACTTGATAATAACTTCGTCGTTTGCGAAACGCAACACTATTATCTGATCACACGCTGACCTAAATCCTTAAGAAATTTCGCAATTCTTTGACACAATTCCAGTAATTTACTGAGATCATCAACGCAGTTTAATCGTCGTTCTGATATGCTGAAGTAAAACAAGGAAAAATCAAGTATCTTCACAAGGCAAAATCACGTGCTTAAAAACTTCAATAATTGAGGAAAATGTATTACGTATTGTGAAATATTATACAATATTATTCTCATATATGCATTGAGACAGTATTAGTTTTAACTGTGACTTTATATGTTTGCTTCGAAGAAACAATAGTTTTACGCATGGAACTCGAAGCGAATTATGATAATTCGAATGTGTATGAATTTGCGTTAAAGTAGATCGACGCTGCAAAGACTTTTCTGTTCCGTAACTCTCTGACGGATAATATTTCATGCCTTAGCCAACTCTTCTTGTTAGTCGTGACATAACATTCACATAAACAATCACTCGTTATGGATTTACGTGCTATTACGTAAAGGAGCTAGCAGAAACAAGTCGCAAGACTGTCAAACCGTTCCACGTGATTCATCTATCTAGTCTGTTTGGCAAATCGGTAAATGCTGATGACTAAAGGCGTTAAACTTGTTTTATGAGTTAAAATTATATTCCCAATGAATGATTCACGTTCAATAGCAAAAAGGCCAATGCGTTATTACAGTATTATTGCTAGGATGAGCACGTGCGAGGATGAGCACGTGCCGTCCAGTGATTCGAAAATACGGACGTTAAAAATGATACACGATCCATCGATTCGCTCGAGTGAGTCTGTTGTAAGCTATTATCAGTGAGGAATATATTATATCGGAAAAATATATTTATATTCGGAAAAATTCTCACACGCACAATACGTGCACAAATTCGCAGTAAGACTTTTTATCTTGCTATGTTTCTACCGCTGTTTAAATCGCTGAAATTCCAATTAATTAATAACTCCGCAGAAGAATCGAAATCTTTTTTTCCCCGCGGAAAAGATCGCTCGGGGAAATTTTCAAATTTCTCACGTCTACGTGTCTTTCCCACGAGTGAGCTTTTATAATTGGGAGTCAGCCTCGTCCCGATCGGAATCAGACGCAAGGAGAGAGAGGGAGAAGGAGAGCGCGTCCACCGCGGATAACTTTAACGAGACTTAACGAGTCCACTCATACAGACGGCTCCAGCGATCGTCATTCTCGCGTACCGTCCCTCCCACACTGCCTAGATCTCTCCGTGATCATCATCCCGTCTCTGTTCTACGACGCAGAAAGTGCTGCTATCCATCGTCAATCCTTGGGACGTGAAGGTGGCCAGTGTTGATCCGATCGGACTGGCCGAACGACGGGGCGTCTCCCTGTCCGTCTTACCCTCTAATCAGGACGAGGGTGCCAGCCAGGAGTGGTCGCCCCTAGGCAGGTCCCTTAAGATACCGTCACCCTGGTACAAACCTGGTACCGGCTCCTCCGATCACGTCAACTCCGTCAAGTCCAAGGAATCGACGTTGATCGATCCCATCTGGTTGAATCCTTGGTACACGCCGCAAAGGTATCTTCAATTTCCCATCGATACGCTATAAATAAACTTTGCAATATAAAATTGATTTGCAATTTAAAATATAAATAAATTATCATTCGCTTGATGCAAATAAAATTTCGTAACGCGAAAACTCTGGTGAACAAGATAATTTTTTTCTTTTTCTTTTGCTCTTTGAATCTCGTATTATAATTTTAAATCAATTTGTATAATTACATTCTTAATTACATATTAATATTAATTAAGCAAAGTTCTCAAAATGATCGCAAACGCGTGATAAAAATATAATGTATCAATAATTAACTAACGTAGATTGAAATCACCGTTGAAATTACACATATTGATTTATTAACGATGCTGCTCATTGCATTTCGAAGGTCGCCCGTCAACAGAACTCACGATTCCCCGTCGCCGAGTCCGTTCAAGGAAAGATTACGAGGTAACAGACAGAGAACCGGCGAGACAAGGCACGACGACGAGCCGGGCGAGGTCGACAATGGATTAATCAAGGCTCCGCAGGAAATTAGCCGCGACGGTTTCGATGATGTGGACGGTACAGCGGCGGTGCGTGTGCGTTTCGAGATCGACGGAGCAGAGCCGAAGCGGAATGGAGTGCGATGTGAGAACGGACGGGATGTCGACGGTGCGCCGCGAGTGTTGACGAAAGATCAGAGCGCGAATAACGATAGTTCGAAAGCCGAACGACGCGAACGGCGACCGATCGCGAAACAGAATCGCACGGGCGAAGTGAATGCGGTGAAGAGGCAGGAGAGTTCTCCGCGGCGAACGGATCGTGGTGCGGAAGTCGGTAAGGACGAGAAAAATGCGAATGACGAACGGGACTATCCTCGGATTGTAATCGAAGAGAAGCCAGCGATTATCAACGTCGTTCAGTGCCTGGTGGAGTCCAGGTAATTATATACGGGAAATAACGTTGCGCAAATATATATACTACACTTTAGTGCCACGTCTTCAATCTCTCTGACTGAACTGATCTGTTCTGACTGAATAATTGAGGTATTTGAGATAAAATAAATTTTAAAAAACAAACAGAAGAATTTCCACTATATTCGAAATTACGGAATAGTAAATATCTTTCACGAATATTTAATAGCCTTTTAAATCTAATTATAAGCGAAAGACAAGAAAAAAATGAGAGCTCAGTAACGCAAGTTTTATTTTACACGGCGGAACTTAGCAATATCCTTTTTTTTATGTTTCATGAGGTACAATTCACCAACCGCGGCGGAGAGGAGATCAAAAAGGATGCCATCATGTCGTCGTCAAGAGACTTCGAAGGAAATAGATCTAGTGGGTAAGACGGCGGGGTGTGCGTGTTCTCTGTTAAAGTGTAGAACAGGTCGACGGTACGAGATGATTCGGAGAGAATTATGTCGGAATTAAAGCGAGATCTTCCGGTAGTTTAGGCTTATTAGGGTTGTTCAGGATCAGCCAGTGCGCCAACCACAGTACAGGATCGGCTGGTCTGTGCTTGCAACACTGTAGAGAGAGAGAGAGAGAGAGAGAGATTTGTTTAGTTAATCGAAGGATATATCAAGCTGAAAAAATTGTTCACAAAATATATCATGAATTTTTATCGGCAAAAATTACTTTACCAATGTCAGACCTTCGACGAGAACCGGATTAATAGTCTCCCACAAATAATCTTCAGTCATCTCGTCTCTTAGCAAGGGTTCAATTGTGACTGACAAAAAATAAAAAGAGATTTCTAATTCGATATTGGAATAATGCACCTGAATATTGATTAAGTAAAACGAAAAGTAATTTTCTACAATTGGGGAAGAAAAAATGGATCTCCTTCTCGGCTTGTTCGCGATCGCAACTGCCATGGACAGCGTTTTTTAAGTTGTCTCCCTTGCGACCGTATCTCGCTCGGATGCTGTCAGGAAAATACAAACGCGCTTCTGTCACCTAAAACGATTCCTAAAATAAGTCTTAATCCCCCCCAAAAAATCAGATTCTAAAATATTTGAGAATTCTAATAATATGCAATGCATATAGCACCGTGGTCGGTCCTATGAGTCTCTTCCATTCTTCAACGGCGTTCTGCTTTCCTAATACGAACACTATGATGGATCCCGAGGACATGTATGCCACCAGATGAGGAAAACTCAGTTCGCCGAAGCGATTGTTGTAGAACTCCGCAACCTGTTCGGGTGTCAGCTGCAGCCAACGGGTCTGACATATCTCGAATCCTTCCGCACGTATTCGACGCTCGATCTCCTTTCTGTAGACCACCGCTTCCGGTTTTATTATGGCCAACGTGTACTCGACGTCCGGTTCCTCCTCAACGGTCTCCTTAATTCTGTCGGTCTGAAGACTGACCGCCAACAATTTAAAGCCCTTTTCCTCGACAGAATACTCGCATTCCGTAGGATAAACGAATTCATACTGCAAATCACGTAATTATTTGTTTGCGTCGAATAATCTCCACGCGTGATTTTATTGCGCTTTATTTATCGAAAATATCCCTAATCGATGATCTACCGTCCTGCTCAATTCACTAGAGGATGCACTTGATTCCGTCGACGGAGTCGATGCTATCGACGAAGTTTTCGCAGAATCGGATGTCGTATCGCTGCTACTGGATCGCACGGAATCGCTCGGCATCCGATCGGACCCAATGGAAATTGTATGCTCGAGCATGTCTTTTCCAGGACGATACAGTGTAGAACACTTTGAGAAAAGAGTTACAGTTTCCGGACCGATTTTCCCAGCAGTCTTGTCGTCTCGCTTTTGCGAACAGTCACACATTTCTATTGCCGCACACAGGGACTAAATGCTTTTTTAAGATTATTTTTATTGTTATTCTATTGATTTCGTTTTTGTGTTCAAGAAAGATTTGATTGTCACACAATCAATCTAATTTTTCTATTTCTGTCATTTATGTTTGCAAACATTATGAAAGGTTATAGCTCTTTGACATTTATTTGTTCTGCTTTTGTAGGAACATTTTTTTTTTTTAATTACTCCAGTGATCTTCTTGATCTCCGATCGGCGCCGCCGCTTCAATTATCGCGATGTTTTCTTACGAGAGTTTGCTCTGCGATAAGTTAGCATATAGAAGCATACCACTTGCGTAGGTGCATTCGTTTTTAACGCTAATGTCATGCGAATATTTATACAACGATAACGACTTTGTATTATGTAAATTTAGAGATTATGCTATTGCCGATTGTTATTTCCGCAAAATTAATTGTCACGACAGGCATTAAGGTGTGCTTAAGTATTTGTAATTTTTATCCAATTATTTCCTCTCGATTGGCTTTCAGACTTTTCAGGCAAATCGAGCGATAATGCCAACGTTGTTGTTAAAGCAACCATGCAGGAGAGTAATCAAGGAATCGCCAACGAGACGACGACGGTGAAAGCATTGCCGGAAGTGCCGGCACTACGTGCCCCGAATATAAGAAAGACCAGCATATCGATGCCGAGCAAACTCAACGAGATGGACGATCTTCGGATAGATAGACAAAATGTAAGTTAAATTTATATTAACGTATAACTGGCAATATAATTACTGTATAATTATAACGCATTATAACATATGGACTAACGCAGTAATCTCCATACGCGATAGTCCGTATGTTATAACTCGGTGTCATAAATCCGAGAGATCTGTCGTTAAAATAGATACATCGAGAAGTTTTTGACACTAGGTTATAAGTTTTTATGTAAATATTACAAGAGGATGACGCAGAATATACTGACGACAACGGAAATATTTTTCGGGTGTCGAAAGACAGAAGAGTTATACACGCTCATCCGAAAGTCAAGAAGGTCTCGAAAGTCAAACAATAACACATTCCGCGTATTTCTCATCCACTGAATAATCAATGTCAGTCTCTCTAATGACAAGAATAACGTCATATCGTATCTCTTCGACTTCGCGCGTTTGTGAAAAGAAGCTCCATTGTGATCAACTTATTTAATTGATTTCGTCGTTGATTAATACGTCAGTATAGGTTTTTCATTAAGAAAGTAATTTGATCCGTTCAGTGTGTCTCCGAGTTATATGTTCGGAAGCTTCCATTTTAATCAGTAATCATTACATTACAAATTTCATGTTAACTTCGTCGGGTTAAGCGGTTTTACGTTCCACCGCGTTATACGTTCCACGAAAGAAGCGGAGAAGCGCGAAAGCGGCGAAGAAGTAACCGATGATATAGGTATGGACCGGTACGAATGGCACGAGGTAGATGTCAAGGATCACAGACACAATTTGATGTATTTCTTGGAGAATGCTTTGGCTGGCGCTAAAAAATGCAAGCTGAATGTTATTCGGGAGGTGCGGTTAAAAGCAATTTGCAAAACGAATTAAGTTGTGTGATAGATTCCTCAAAGTATTCCGAAAATTCTAATAATTTAATAAATATCGCCAAATTAAGTACAAATTGAAAGGAAAGATTTCATATAAAAATTTTACATAAATTATGTAGGTTAAAAACAATAAAAATATAATCTTTCTTGTAACTTTTAATTTTTGGAAAACCGAACAAATCCAACGTTTCTTTTTATTAATTGTCTAAAGCAATCGGCGTTTATTCATCATTCCTTTTTATTAATCATTATTACGATATTTTATATGCTCATGTGTTACTTTAGTAGAAAAAAAACAATATTTTTCAGTAATGTGTTACGTAATTTATCATTTGCAAATTCATTATTCTGCAATATTCTTTGCAAAAAACAGACGATTTATTCAAACGATACCACACTGTCTCACGCTATGTTATTTTAGATTCGACTTTTTAACTTTATTTTTTATAATTTTCTCATTTTAACATTCTCTTTCTCTCCTTTTTTATTTTTCAAGCTCTGTAATTTATTTTTTTTTTTTTAGATACGCAAGATTTAAATAGACATAAATAAAAAGGAAATATCTCTCGTATTCGTGTTTTTAGTAATTTAGTGTCAGATATTCGATAAGTATAAACTTTCGGTGAGAATGAGATCAATAATCACGCGAGGTATTGTATTAGTTACTAATGCATCAGCAATTTTTAATCGTAACTGCGTAACGTATGAATACTGTATTCAAGGAACATTGCCGTACGATGTAATTAGCGTAACGCTAACGTTTTTAGAACGAAGATCGAGAAACATGCTCGAGTGACGTTTTACTACAGGAGAACGGTGATACTGCCTAAAATATTCCGTTTCATGTTTGCTAAATTTTCCACTTGATATACGATATGCAATAAACGTTGTTGATAAGGAGTGCATTTCTGAATACGGTCGTTGTACTTGATGGTTGATCGATCAGCGTCGCAATTCGTTATACGCTTAGCAATATTGTTTCGAATATTTTACATATTTTCGTTTACAACCTTTCAGTATTTATTTCAGAAAAGGGTTTTTAAAGGCGCGTGAATCTTGAAAAATGTAAACTCCAATGAAAAATGTAAAATATTAACAGTAAAATATTGACAGTAGCGATGTGTTTTATCGATGCCGCATGATATATTTGTTTCGATCGCGCGCATATCGAATATTAATAAAAAAAAAAAAAACTTGAACGCGCAAATCGAGCGTGTCAAAGCGTAACATTGCTCTCGATACATTAGTGATCCATGTAAACAGGACGCAGATGAGCCTTGTTAGGTGATCGACAAAGATAATGTGCAGCCTTGATCGACGATATGATTTGTTTCATTGCACAGGTGTCGGCGCGGATCAGACACGCTTATTTACACCTGAATTCCGGATTGTGATATTTTCAGGGTACCGCCTCGAAGTTTACGAGAGAGGAGAGCGAGACCAGCAGCAGCGTGACTTTCAGTAACAGCGGCTCGACACCGAATGGAAGTCCTCTGGGATCCGAAACTGAGGAGGAAGCGAATGATGAAGAGTTAGCTAAGTGAGTGTCTAATTTAGTGATTCATTACGATTAAAAGACGAATCGGAGAAAAGGGGAAGAGTTAAAAGGCGTGAATCTGCATGTCTTAATGTGCGATTTATAAATTTGTACAAACGGAAAATAATATACCATATATATGATTAATTTGATAGCAGAGTTCTATTTTGTGTGTGTTTTTTTTAATGACGATTAAAGTTTTGTTAGTAATTAGTTGGTCTCAGCAAATTTTTCGCAAATGCATGTGAGATATAATCCAAATAATTTTTTTCCTATAAACTTTCACGACAAGTCTTGACTCGACGAATGATAATAGCATAGCCCAACATATTACATGCTGCCACATTTGCCATTCCAATATTGATCTGGTTCGCACCTGCGTTAACCCGTTTCAACTGCTTAAATCTATATAAATGCCCGATACGATCGAGCCTGAGACGAGGAGGAAAGCCAGCTCCGCGTAACTTACTCGCAAGAGGACGGATACCTCGCCTGCAATTTTCTCTCGGCCGATATGCGCTCTAAATGCGCAATTTGCATTGTAACACCCCACTAGACGCGTACACGAGGTACTGTTTATCGTTCTCACTTGCGCGGTCGCGTTCCGACTGAGCAGATGAAACAAGCGTACCTATCTGACCGTGTTCACGGTCATCGTAAGCATCGCCATCGTCGGGACCGACCTTCCTTCATATCGCTTCAGGGTTATCGCGCTATAAGAGTTGGTCTCCCGGTAATCGCCAGTTTCGGCCAACAGTCGTCGCTCGATCGCAATTACGGCTTCCTCGCTTTTTCGTACACGTATAATTGCTTAAAACTTTTCTATCACTCTTCGGACTTTTCTGCGTCAAATATATGAGTGCACGTTAAGATTACATGCTTGTGATTTTGGTTTCCGTAAATCAAAAAATGTTGATGTTGTTCAAAGAATAAAATACAGATATAAAATCAATTACAGCATTAACTAAAATAACAGTTTACCATTTTACAAAAATATCAGTTTATTAGTTTATCAATTAAAATATCAGTATCTTTAATTGCTCAGACGACAAAATGATCCCCAGATACGATATCGGTAGCGCCGTATCGTTGCAAAGGTACAATGACATATATCGGCATCTTCTTTAAAACAGAGTAACTAACTGTTTATTTATTTAAGTCCACTTTAGATTATCTACAACTTTATTGTGTTAGATTTCATGATAGAATTCTATTTATAATTTTAAGACATAACACGCCGTGTTGTGTCTTAATATACGCGTATTTTAATATATATTTACATATTTTTATGTACATATATTTTAATTCTTCAATATTTCGTATCGTATTATGTAGCAAAATTATAAATGGAATTCTGAATATAGAAATTCGGTTGTCTAAGGTGAGCTTTATACGTACTTAATCATCTCGAAATTTTTTAGAGTGCCGCTGCAAGCTCCACCACGAAGGAAAGGCAGAATCGTATCATCCTCGGTCAATGAAAAAATGGGGAACGACACCACGGAACTTTCGGCCGTGCAAAGCGCGACTTCCACGATAACCAGCGTGAACAGCATTAGCAGTCTTCTGAAGGAGAAATTGCAGTTATCGTTACCGCAGGCGTTGCGTAGCAGTGCAAGACGTCAGAATGCTGATTATAGGTAAAACGACCGAAAAAATGAAAATCTTACAGAATTTAAATATTAAATATTTTTCAATATCTAATAGGAATTAATCGCTTGTATTACAGTGATTGTTTGAGTTGAGGTATCCAATTTTTTTTAAGAAATCAATTTTCTACAGGCTTAAAGCATTTGTTGGTATCCTGTTCCTCTGTATCGTCTTCCTCGTGGGATTCGCCCACATTTATTACACTCAGCATGTCCTACAACGAGCTTACTTTGAGAAATTTAGGTGAGTACTTAGCCACATTGCGATCGATAAAATGTTACACATTAAAATTGTTTCGCGTATGTACTGGCGCACTACTCAAGGACTGATATTTCGATAGTCGGCGACATCGCTTGCCGTCTACTCTGAAATAACTTTCGGTCGTTTGCCTCTGCCAGGAAGCGCCTAATGGAATACATTAAGGCTCGTTTATCGTGCTGATCTCGTGCCAGTCTCAAAATGCGTATTCAATTGGTAACCCAACATGCACGCTTAGCTTTTCAGGGGCTGCATTATCTTAGAATCGTGGGAGGGAGATCTCGGGTACCGATTATCCAATATTTTACGCAACAAATTTTTTTCATCACCGTACATATAGTTAAGCTTGACAAATGTTTCCTTTAATTTTCACTTTATTACTTCTCGCAAAGATCACGAAAGTTCCTCCTCTAACAATTATTTATCGCGTTTTCTTTTCAGATTCAATAAAAACGAAAGAGTGATGAGAGTCTACAGCAGCAGCGGGGCGGAGATCGTCGCCGCTCGGCTCGGCGAGGGAATCCCACCGAACACGGGGGTGTACCCTTGCCTTCCTCATCATCAGCGACAGGACTCGGTCTGCCTCGAGTGGCTGCAACAGACGCGGCTTTACCTCGCGCACACGAAGCGCGAGGGTATGCACTGCTACCACGTCACCTGGCAGAGTCTGAGCCCGTACTACAATCCCAAGGACTGCTTCGACTGGTCCTCGAAGAGGGGCCACTGGTACGGCGCCGGTCAGATCCAGAACATGGTGTATCCCCTGGAACGCGGTCGTCTGGAGTTGAGCCCTTTCATCACGGGCGACGTGAGGAAGCATCCCTTCGGCAACGTGCTCAAGAGATACTTCCTCAATTCGAAGGGCGCCACAATCCTGGTGGATCCCGAGACGCCGCTTTACGTCTCCATCAACGCCAATCGTACCAACGACTTTTGCCTGCAGGCGAAACACGACGCCTTCGCTTACATCAATCACTTGACGCCGCTACCTCAGCTCAACTACACCATCTGCGCGACCGACAACATGAAGAGTCTGCATTCCTCGATGGCGGAGAAGTCTCTGTGGGACGGTCTGAAGCCCGATGAACTGCACGCCGTTCATTCTCTGCTGTCCGAACCAGTTTGGCAGATCTCGCCCATCAATGAAGCGGCTATTTATAATTACACAGAAGATGTGATCGCGCTGGGATTCCTTCGTCAAGGACACGTCCTGCTGAGCGAGGAATGGCAGCCCAGTTCGGGTGATTTCGTCCTAGACGAAGAACGATTCCCCTCTATGGAGGAAACTATCAATATCATTCATCGCAGAGGATTTAGAATAGTTTTCACCATCCAGCCGTTTATCTCTACGGAATCCATCAATTTCAAAGATGCTGTCGCTAATAGATTACTGATCTCCGAGAGAGGAAGCGATCCTAGGATTCCGGCGTTAACAAGGTTGTCGATAAAGAATTTAAATAAAATTAAATTAAATTACTAGTAAAAATTGCTATTTGAATTTTCTTAGCACGTTATATTTTCAAATATACACAATATTATAATCTAATGAGAGATATTTTAAGAAGGATTTATATTTAATTTCAGGTACAAGCAAAGTAACAGCGCCGGCGTACTCGACATTACGAATAACAAGACCTTACCGTGGCTGCAAACGAAGCTCGAGAGTCTGGTCATGAAGTACCACGTGGACTCGTTCTACCTCGATCTGGGCACTGCCCAGGATATGCCGCATTACTACAAGTGCGAGCAGCCTCTGACCAATCCCGACCATTACAAGACCATCTTCACGCGTTCGATACTAAGCACCATACCCGTGATCGGCGTCTCGAGCGCCATTTCCAGGCCACGGGCGCCGGTCTTCGTATCCCTGCCGCCCTTTCCATCGTCCTGGAAGGCCATCAAGACCGTCATTCCTACCGTCCTCAGCTACGGCATGATCGGCTACCCGTTTATTATGCCGGGAGCGGTGGGCGGCGATGTAGCGCTTCCGATGTCGGATAACAATCCAGATAATGACTACGAAGTAGATCTGCCAGACAAGGAACTTTACATCCGCTGGCTGCAGCTCTCCACCTTTCTGCCCGTGATCCGCTTCACTCACTTGCCGAGTAAATATTCAGATGAGTCAGTCCTGGAGATCGCCAAGAGGCTGACCACTTTGCGGCAGAAAACGGTTACACCGTTACTGAAAAAGTACGCGAACGAGACTCTGGACACCGGCCTGCCTATTATCAGGCCACTGTGGATGCTGGATCCGGCCGATCCGGCATGCCACGTGGTGGTTGACGAATTTTCCGTGGGCGAGGAGTTGATCGTGGCGCCGGTGCTCTATTCCGGTAGCAGGCAGAGGGAGGTCTACCTGCCGGCTGGAGTTTGGAGGGATGGTATCGACGGGAGCTTGAGAAAGGGTTCGAGATGGATTCATAATTACAGAGTGGCCGAGGACAAGGTCGCGTATTTCGTCAAGATGCCGGACAACACGAGATTCTGAGGGATACGATGCCGCTTCGCCGTTTTGCGTCACGATGGGAGGGATGCGCCGCAGTGTCGTCGAAGAATGTCAAGGTCGATAAATCGAAATGGTGATCATTCAGATATGATCCCGCTGCGATAACACGGTTTCTTCGGTATGCCAAATAAATCATAACGACGAACGTGTTGTGTAATCGATTCGTCAATAAGACGAATACCGACTACTTATCTTTATGTATTATCGACCATGAATTTTTATAGACATACATCTTGATTCTTTATTAAAATGCAAGATGAACTTGTTCCTCGGTAAATCTCGAAAGTGCAGAAAAATGATTGTGCATTAGAAAATACACATATCATTGTGCTTGAAATGACGAAAACTTTAAAAAATGCGATATTTAATGTATTAAATAATTAAATGAATGGATCTAAAAATCGAGATTACAATAATTGATCCAACATCGTGATCTTCGACAGAAAGAGTGCAGCAGGATTGTTATGTAGGGATAAATACTTAACGGCATGTAAATGAGAGATTTACACGTACACGTTAGTCGAAAGTGCTATTCAATATTCAATGAATATATCAATATTCAACGAAAAGATTTGATTACAATAAAAGTATCCAATGTTACTGTATTCTACGGATATGAGATTATTGTACCATCAGTACAGTATCAGTACTATATTACAATGCATATCATAGACCAAATATTGATACATACTGAAAGAACAGGAATCAATTGTAGATTTAATTTAAGCTGTCAATTATATTTATTTTATCTAACACAATGTGATTTTACATCTCTATCAATCCTTTAATATAATCTATTAGTGGAACTGATTTATGTTGTTTTTTTAAATATATTTTTTAATAATATGAAAAAAAAAATAAAAAAATAAATACAGTTGACGAGAATGCATCTGAACGCAGTTTTATAGGGCGCACGGGGCTATTTATTTCTTCCTTCTTTTTTTTTCATTACAAACTTACACGACATGTAAAACAAAACATGTGAGCATGCAGAAGCGGGATGCGAAACCGGTGCGTTTCCCGATTGATTTAACTTACGACGCTGCAGCCACGAAAAGATGTGTCTGAACGTAGTGATTCTCGCGTGTCGAGCTCTCGCAACGCAGCCGGGGATCACGCCGCGCCGGTCTCTTGATCCTTGTGCAAAAACATCTCGAACAGGCGGCTGATCTACGGTCGATCGACGAGGAGAAAATCAAGACGCGTGAGGCACACAGGCGACAAATTCTCTAAGGTATAGTGTATATTTATTATATTATCATTTTTATCATATAGCGTAACATCGTTATTTCTATAATAATAATAATAATAATAATCATAGCACCATGAACACTCCACAGTAAATTTTTTTTCATTTTTTTTTCTTTTAATTCGTTATTCGAAAAGAATGCGACGCGCCGATGCGCCGCGACGGGTGAGAACCGCGATCGTGTAATCGTATAAGGAACTCGAACAGCACCGAAATATTAGAGAGCATCTCCGAGCGACGTCCACGATGGCATCCCCAGCATCCCCGGAACGTTCCTTGGACGTCCCTCCGAGATCTTTGTCGATCTCGCGCTATACGTAAACGCGAAGTCTCGCAATACTCATTGCGCAACGACATTCTCGACCGGATGTATCTGGATGATTCTTCCCTTTTATTTTCTTGCGACCGGAAACGTTTCTGACTAGAGCGTCTCGTAAAATATCCGAGAAAATTTCACGGCGGAGGAAGGATGCAGCTTTTGATTTTGTACGGAGAAGCGATCGAGGGGGAAAAAGCGCGAGCGAATCGAGAAACATCGAGAACGGAAGATCGCACACTTTCCTCCACTTCCGAAACGACCGACAATTTTTCTCTTCTAATTAATAATATTATTATTGATTGTTCTTTAGGAAAAATCACCGATATCACCGTTCTCGCACCCGTCGGGCACCGCGATTTTAGGGGTTCGTACAGGTGTTGAGGCTCACGTTTTTCATATCTCTCTCTCTCTCTCTCTCTCTCTCTCTCTCTCCTGCTTTCTCTCTTTCTCTTTCTCACGCTCTCTTTTACACTTCCTCTCTTACGTGTACTTTGTTCATATATTATATAGATATCTATATATATAATATATATTTTTTCTTCCCTCATATTTCCCTAATCTGTTTCGGTGAAAGCTCGTTCCTAATCATTTATTTGTTCTTTTTTTATTATTTTTATACTTTTTATTTAAATTACTCCAATAAATTGTTTATTTTAATCTATCCTGCGCGCATCATCATCGATCGACAATAGCTTTTCATTTAATAGTTCATTAATTTATTTTGTTTTTTCGTTAAATTGAATTTCATAATTTTAACATCCTACCTAGATAACTGGTCATTATATTACTTGTCAATAAATAATACGTAAATACATAGGTACATATATTTCATCGTCATCATCCCTCTCCCTCCCTGTCTCTCTTTCTCTCTCTCTCTTTCTCTCTCTCTTTTCCTTCTCTCTTTCTACTTCTCTCTTAAATACTTTTCTCTTGCACGTCCACTCGCTATCATACGTATGAAGGTATCGATAAATATAAAAACTCTCTATTCATGTACATGATAGAAAGAGAACGATGATGATGATGATAATGACCCTCTCTCATGAACATAATCGTAATATCAATAATATTAATAGTAGTCGCAGTAATAATAATAGCAGCACAATAATATTAATCGCAATGATAACAAGCACAATAGTCGTTAAAAATAATTAGTATGATAGTAATTGTATTTATAACAATATCGATCGTTCTCATCTCTCTTTTTCTTGATGTCCCTTACGCCATTTTTACTCTTCTCTCTCTTTCTCTCTCTCTCTCTCTCTCTCTCTCTCACGTTTTTTCCTATTACAAAATTCTCTCCCTCGTTCGTCTTCTCTTTCGCCGATCGGCGAAGTAAAATCTTGATCGCGCTTAACTCTGCCGGAAACGGCATTGTTAGTCTTTCGCTTCCTTGACGACTGATTTCCGAATGAACGCGTCTTCGCGTTCGATGAATGCGATTAAAAAAAAATGATCATGAACGCAAACGAAGAATGAACAATAAATAATCGGACGAAATGACAGATGAGTACGTGGGCGATATGATATATGTACGTGTATGCGTGCGGGGAAAGTAAATCTCTCGCGATCGGAACAGAAAATCGTGTGTAACTTACAGGCGGTAAAAAACTTACGCACTAATCTATAGAAACCGGGGCCCGAGGGCCGTTCTATCGCTTCTCGTTTTGCAGCGACAAGACAAATCGCTTTCATCGCCGTCTCTCCTCCCTCGATATATATCACCGGTACCTCAATATCGTCATCAACGATCGGTCTAATCGAGCACCATCGTTTTCGTGTAGGCACGAATGTGTCTCGTATAGAGGAGAGCTTTTTCCGACTTTCATTCGGCGAAATCCGTTTGTAGTTCATTAGGATCATGCTTCAACCGACCAACACAACGTGCGAATGACGTCCCAATCTTTTAGGCGTTCTCATTTTTTAAACTTAGAATTCTCTTTAGTCTCTCGTAAAATCATATGTAGGATGTCTATTGTTAGACATGATGGTCTACCATCTTTGTGATAATTTAATTTTCGTCAATAATAATTCAATTTAATTTCGTCAAATTATTGACTTGCGTCTATGGATCTCGCGAGAATGGTGAGTAAAGGTATCCTCTATAAGTTACAGTTTCGATATTGCGCTTAATCGCACTTGTCTCTCTGTTACCTCTTGTATATCGCGATTCTCCTTCCGGCCTGTATGTTCTCTCGTAATTCCGGATAATGATCAACTTCTACGTACGCATTCTCGGTACGCGTCCTTAAATCGCAGCTGCGGCATTTCATTCTCGCATCGAGTCGAAACCGACACGATTTTGATTTCAATTCAAATTTAATTAATTCAAGGTGAATATACATCGACTCGCATGACATTGTCGGCATGCGTCAATTGCGATCTAGGGGTACGCACGCAGGGTCGGCACTAGATGGGTTTGTTTTTAAGGTACAATTATATAAGAATATTAAGAGTCAAGATATTTGGTACGACCCGGTCTCTCTTTCGGAATCTCCTACAAAAGATGGGATACCCTCTCCGACAGCATATGTAAGTGTCTAAAATCGTAAAAAACATCCGAAAGAACTTGGTTCTCCGGAAGTCCTTTACGTACGTTCTGTACATACATTTTGCACCTTTGTGCTGTTTGAGCACAAAGGAAACTTAACTGCCTTCAGCTTCCTCACGAAGACTCGCTGATAAACGCGTATCAGCGGAAGTCACGGCAAACAGTTTTTCCACGCTCCCATCGAAAGATAAAAATGAATGGGAGGCCTGTCGGCCCGCCCATCGACTTGCTAAATAATAACCATGTCTCAAATAGAATCTCAAACAAGCGCGATGTTCGGCATACATTTCCTCTCCGTGTTATCAGATCGTTGTCCGTCGTTGTAGTCATCATCGTCTTGTCAGTTTGTCACGCTTCGGCTTAAAACACCTCAGCTCTAAGAAAAAGTTAAGTACAAAAAGTTTCATTGATCTTTAATCATTCCGCCTAGAATGTATTCTCGCTGATACTTCAGAGAACAGCGATCGGCCAGACGTTTCTCACGCCGCTGAGATTCGACTAGGCGCGTCAGATAGAACTTTGTCCGATCTGTCATTACGCGGGAACAATGACGTGACTTCTTGCAGCGGAGATCATGTTTTAATCTGTTTTTCTTTCGACGCTCTCGCTTTTTTGATCTATTCTTTTGACGCCACGTCACGGTTTAAGCGCGTCCGGCTTTAAGCGAGCTCCTCCTTCACGCCATCGGTCAGCCGAGTTTTCTCTGTCATCATAGTTCTTCTTTTGAAGAATTGTTTTCGACAGATAATTTTTCTACTCGTTAGTTCCTCCTTTGTCCTGGGAGTTTTTAAATGTTCTCAGGCATTTCCTCGAATCGCATCTCGAGGAAACTCTCCTGAAACATCTGACCATAGAATGCACGAGCTGCAAAATTGTTTGTGCGACACTACAGTTATTCGATCATTGCAAGATAGCTCGGATTATCGCATCCAATATTTGTTTTCGTCGGAATAGCGATACGACACGTGGCCAAGCAAACAGAACGATTTATTCCTCTCATGAAGAGATAACGTCATTGTCCACGCAAATTTCGCACGTATAATATCGATGTTTTGTAAAAAATGCTCAACGAATTCTGCTACGATCGCTGTTTTCCGAAATACCGTTCGCGTGTCGCAGCTTTAGAAAAAAAAGGCCCCCGTAATCGAAGGCGATTTATAAAGAAATGATCGAAGACGAATTGTTCGTCCGTCGAATGGACGTTTTGAGACATGTCATCGCCCTGCACTCCCCTCACGGCAACGAAACGCTTTACGGATCTATTCCGGCATCATCCTCGTCGGACTCTTTGGCTATAGCTTGGACCACGTCGCAGGGACGACGCAGCGACGGAATCTGTCAACCGACCATACCACACCTCCGCGCATCTCTGTTCTCTCTCTACGATATATTGTAGAAACACGACATACAGATAATTCCTACCCTAGTACTTCTCGATGGAATTTTAGCTCCGTTTTTTTTTTTTTACCTATGCACGAATAGACATTTATGACGAGAAAGGGGACCGTTAGTCACGTAACAACGAAGGATATTGTTTCCGCAGGTGAAACGTGGATCGTTCTCCTCGCGTCTCACGTCCTCACGTGTCCCATTGAAGAGGACAATATGCGATCCATCGACACGGACGATGAATCCCTTCCGACAACGCGCGCGTCCTGCGCGTCCGTCGAACGCGCTCGCGCGTTCCATCTCTTTCACAATGAACGCCTCTCCGCGTAAATTGAACTGCGGTACTTTTCTTCCCTCATTTTTTTTTTCTTTTTTTCTTTTAACTGATACACTAAATACTCTACGCGGTGCTCTTGAAGCGGCAGCTGTGTCAGAGATATTAAAAGTTTTACTTTGATCTGCTGATCGAGGAGAGAATGCGGGCGAGGAGGTCTCGCGTCGACTGTTCGATCTACGTTCGGTGGATCGAAAATTGGAATATCCTAAAATCAATTTGTAAATTTTTGGTAGCTAGAGCACACAGATTGTCACAGGACCGCGGCGCTTACGGACCGTCGTCGACGGAGCAATCGATCGTCGCTCATGCAACGTCAATTGTCCCTTTAGCTTTAGCTTCGCAGCGCGAAATTTTCGCAAAAAACTTCCTCGACTTGAGCATCTTAATCGTTAAGATATTGCAGGCGGTATCAGCGCGCTACGGACTGCGAACGGTGCAGAGTGTGGAAATATAAACGTCCGTCGATAAGCGCCGTTATTATCAGCGCAACGTGAATCTTAATCGAATTGTACAATTCTCCCTCTCAATAATCCATTTCTTAGAAGTAAATAATTAATTTATACCTTGTATTCCCGTGCAAGAGAAGAAACCCTCGCGATCTCTCTTTCTCTTTCTCTCTCCTGTTTCGTTTTTCTCGTCGCCCGCACCGTCTCCTCGCGAAGAAAGAAGGAGAACGTCCTAAATTAGATTAAACAATCCCAATTTTGAGACCTGAGCGAGATCGACCTGAAAGTCGATCTCGCTTCCTCAGGACTGCCTCTACAGGAGGTTCGACAGGATTTCTACGATCCTGCTAGGCCGCGGAGCTACGACCGCGAGGGACTCTCGAAAATTTGAAATGCTGTTTGTCTTCGGGTCTCCTAGAAGGGGGGTCAGGAATCACCTGACGGGACGGTAGGTCGGCCTGAGCGCTCGACTCTTTCTTTTTCTCTTCTTTTTTTTCTTTTTTCTCCCCTGCAGAAGTGGGTTCGAAGGCGCGGAATAGATGACGCGTTCCGGACGCCGCTCAGAACTCGACTATTACGGCTGAGCAGGCTGCCAATCCCTAGAACTCGAGCCTGTAGGCACTGCAACTAGTCTCGTGATCCTGGAGATTGATAGTGCACCTGGACGCGGACGGCGACAGATCTATGTGGTTCGCCGCGAGCGCTTCCTCGTTATCGGCAACCCAGTAGCCCAAAGTATCGGTGTCGTAAGTCGGAATCATGGTTACCTCTGTGAAAAAAAGAACATGGGAATTATATCACAATACGCTCGGAACGTGATGCATAATTAACATAGATATTTTTATTAATTTGCGCACTTCTTACTGCGCATAACTTCCATAGCCTTCTCTTTGTTAGGTATTGTAATTTTCATTGAGAGTTCTAATAAACTTTATATATTTATAGATATTTTTTATTCGCATTTGAATATTGGTATTGTCACGCTTTGATGACAATATTAATATTCATATTTTATGACAAAGTTTTAATAAAATAAAGAAAAATAATGATAAGAGAAAAAATAAAAATATTAATCAATATTGTTTGGGATTACAAATTAAACTATCGGCCATAAAAAAATATAAATAACTAATAGTATCTCAATTATAGAGTTTGTGTTACATAATTTATTCTTTAATTTAAAATATGTAGAAATTATGTAGATATTATGTATGAACGTAAGAATATCTTAATAAACTTACCGAGATCCTTATCTTCCCAAGTCTTTTTAGCTTCCAGTAGAGCGTCGTAGACTTCCCGGCTGGGCTCGGTGCCGCTGAAGACGTAATATCTCGCTCGCACTCTCTTGAAGAATTCTAAGGAAGTGTAGTACGAATTTCCGTGATGGGGCACGTACGCCAAGTCCATGTAAACTGGTTGGATCTTATTTTTCGAATCCTTCATCTTCTTTTCGTTCTTACCAGGGCTTTCCGAGCGTTTTTTATTCTTAATATTCTCTGACTGTACCTTCTTCGCTTGCTTCCGCTCTTTTTTCGGCGTACTAGGTGCACCCTTGTTCGATACTTCGTTGGTCACCGGTGCAGGAGAGGGTAACCTAAGAGGTTCTCCCCAATTTTTTATAACATCGAAATTTAGAGTATCGGACGTCGTCTCGGTTGAGCACGATGGAGATTGAGCAGGGTTCTTCAGGTTAAATTTTCTGGGCGGTTTAGGAGACGGCAGACCGAGAGGGGTTCCCCATCCCTCTAAAGGATCTTTTTTCGAATCACCTTTCGAATCATCCTTAGCGTCGTCCCGGAACGAAGACGACGGATGATCTTTCTCGTCGGTTGGTTCGTGTCGAACATTACCGTTCGTGTATCTGGGCGATATTCCGCTGCTGAAAGCGCCTCCGGCCTCCTTCATCTCCTTGTCCATCAGAGCCTTATCGAAATCAAGGTCAGCCTCGTCGACGTATTTCTTCGCGTCCGGCTTCTCGCCGTAATCGCCGACGGGCTCCTTTTCAACTGTAAATCTGTGAACAGAAATGGGATCGCTGTCCTTCTGCATACCAGTTTCGCCGTGGAAGGTCTTCATAGCGGAGATCTCCGGCGGCACCGCCGGCAGCTCGCCGTAGAAGCTGCTGCTCATCGCTGCCGCCGAAAATTCCATCTGTTCCTCTTGCTTGTCGGAAGCTGACTCGTAGCGACGCGTCGCTTGCGGCGAATATCCGACTTGCGAGGTCGAGGAGAGTGGCGAGCTGGGTGGCTCATCGTCAGAATAGGTGTGCCTCTCCTCGCTGCTACCCCACGGCTGTGTCACGACCTTGCTACTGTGCTCACTCGATGGATTGGGTGGACCGCGATCTTTTTCGCTGATTATATCGGATCCTGAGCTGCCGCTGCGCTGCAACTCCGAGGACTTGATACTGCCGATAATGCTGCTGATTGCGCTTTCCGCGGCATCTTTGCTTGGTAGACGTTCATCCACCTTCACGTCGGTCTTCTCCGCCAGCACGACTGTCTCGCCCTTCTCATTTGTCGTCTCTGTAACTTCCCTGGTGGTCGTCACTATTTCACCTTCGTCGGATACCGTCTTCGTTGTTGTGACAATAGTTCTGATCATCTCGCCCGATCTGAATCCTTCCGGTGTGGCCGTCGACGATCGACCATCGGATTTTCTATCGGGCGTCGATCTGCCCGACACGTGAGGCTGAACCACGGCGCCGTCTCTGATCAACGGCGACATAGGAATATCCGGCGTAGACTTGCCGCTGAAGACGATGTCTTTGGGCAGCGATATATCCGGCGAAGACTTGCCCGAATAACTCTTGTCATCAGATATAAGTTCTCGTATCAAAGGCGATACCGGATGTTCGAATTTGTCTGCATCTAAGCGTTCCTTTATTGTAGACTCGAGTTTAGTCTCCTGTTTGAGATCAGGTGTCGATTTACCGGAATCGTAGAAGGCTTTTACGTCGGGCGTTGCAGTGCCCGATGTCACGGTTGTGATCGTTTCCTTGATGATCTTTTCCGCAGATGTGGTTTCCGTTAATTTTTCCAATAATTCCTCGCTGGCCAAAGTGTCCGTGCTCTCCTTGACGTCTTTCTTCGTGATAACTTTGCCGTCCGGACCGGTGATCGTGGTCACCGTTGTCACGATTCGCTTCACGTCAGCACTGGTCGTTGCGTCAGACGCATCTTCGTCACTCACAACCTTGTAGATTGTATCTGAGGGGTCTGTGTAAATTTTCAAAGGATCTGTTTGCGTTAATTCGGTATCCGGTAATTCCTCTGTCACGATCGTTCGCGTCGTAATCGTCTTTACATATTCACCGGAATCCTCCTTCGAATCGTCCGTTTCTTCGTCAGGAACGACGATCTCGCGTCTGATCACCTTTGTAATAATTTCAGGCTCGTCTTGCTCGATAATTTCGCGTTTGACGACCTTAGTGATCACTTCCGGTTCATCGTGTTCCACGATTTCCCGCGTGATAATCTTAGTGATCGCCTCAGGCTCATCTTGCTGAGTACTCAATCGCTTAACTTCTTTGACTATTTCTTGTGGTTCGACTTCTTCGATTATTTTCATGACTTCAATTGTTTTTCCAGATTTCTCATCGGATGTAATTGTCGCCGAAATCCCCGCAGTCTCTTCGGGTTTGTCGATAGTTTCCGCGATTTTGCTTTCTCTCAATATTGTAATAGTTTGCGCGGGTTGTGCAGTCTTTGTGTCTTCCACGTCCGTTTTCGTTATGTGAGTCGTGGTTAGCGTAGATTCCGGTATTTTTCCAAGCGCTTTGCCGGCTACGGAAGTCGCGTCGTGCGTAAATTCTGGAGTGGATTTTCCAGACAGCGTGGTTATATGCGTCGTCCTCATCTCTGTCATACCACCGACGAAGGCCTTGTGGAACTGGCTCTCATAATCCGTCGGATAGTCGGACTTATCCATCTGTCGCTCACTCGATTCCGGATACATGCCTATTTTGTACTCGACCGAAGATTTTCTAGCGTCGTGCGGCAGCTCGTAATCTACGTCCGCCCCTTCTTCGTAGCGATACATCGCCTCGTCCGGTTCCTCCTCTGGATAAATTTCCACATCGATCACAGATTCTCTCGGGATCTTTCTCTTCATCACGATCTCCTCCACGATCTCTAAGATAATGTATCTGGGTAGAGACGTCTTGACAATTATCTCCTCGAGTACCACCTCCGTGATTTTCTTTCCTTTCTTTATATATTCCTCCTCCAAAAGCTTTTCGATTTCCATTCGTTTTTCCTCCGATAGCAGGATCTCCTCGTCTATGTGCGGCTCTGATCGAGGACTATCCTGAGTTGATTTGTCAGAAGGAATTTCCGGGCTCAAGCTGCGGCTAGCAGAAAGCGCCGCTTTTGAATCTCTGTCATATCGATCGCTTCCCACAGGAGATATCTTGCCGTCCGGACCTTCACCTCTCGTGGTGTCGCCTGGTTTTCCGTGAATGTACTCCTGAGTAACATCAACTCTTCCGAAATCCATGCCAGTTGACACAAAAGGCTTCTCTTCTTTTTCGTATTGAGGCTCGAACGAGGCTTCGTCGTCTACGAAATCGAAGACCGCGCTCCTGGGTATGTTTTGCCGGTTGATAATGTCTTCTATTATCTCCATTACTATAAACTGAGGCACCGAATACATCATAACCAATCTCTCGATCATTGTCAAACTGATCTTTCTGTTCCTCATGATAAACTCATCTAAAATGTATTTCTCGATCTCCATTTTCTTCTCAGTTGTAATTGAAGATGTCACTTTAACGACGTCTTCTTCTTCGTCATCTGATTTCTCTATTTTGCTCGGCTGTCCGACGTCCGGCTCTTTAAAATCGGCAAATCGTTTCTCGCGGATCTTCTGCATCTTTTTCTCGATTGTCTCGGGCGAGGTTGTAGGACTTTTGCTGCCTTTCTTACATTCATCCTTCTCGTCAAATGGTTTATCCATATCGAGATGCGAGATAGAAGCATCTTTTTCCTCTTGAGGAAGCAGCTTCTCTGACAACTTATCCTCGAATAAACTGGCCGTTCTAGATCTGCTGGTCGGTGTTTTCTCGCCAACATCGAAGACGCTTTGCGAACGTGATCTATCCTTCGGAGTTTTGTCCACCGGCGAACTGGCTCGCGACGATTTAGCAGATTCGTCTTTTGCGGTCTTTCCAGTGTCCAAACTCGGCGAAGTTGATCGTTCGCCCTTCGCTTCCGGTATTTTAATGTCATCAGGCCTCTCGCTGGCAACACTGGATGATCTAGACTTATCTTTTTGATCTTTGTCATCGATTGAACTGAGTGATTTTGAGACATCGGATTTCGGTTCCGTCTTATCGCTGATAATGCTTAACGATCTTGTCTTATCGACAAAATCCAGATCGCCGATTGTACCGGTTTTTAATCTGTCATCGTCTATTTTCTCCGTTGGTTGGGGACTCGGAGATTTATCACTTTTATCATGATCTTTAACGCTACCCTTATCATCGGATTTATCGCTAGCAACGCTGGAAGATCTGCTTCGATCAACAGGTGGTTCTAATTTATCAGTAGGCAATGTTGACTTTCCAAATAATTCCGCTCTCTCACTCGCGACACTAGATGACCTGGATTTATCGGCTGGTGTTTCCATCACGTCTTTAAGATCTGGTTTTTCCTCCGTAACGCTGGTCGCTCTCGAGCCATCGGCCGATTTTTTTCCGTCGGATTTTTCACTTGCCATACTTGGAGATTTGCTCCTGTCGGGTTCTCCCTTTTTATCCGGAATCGGCGATTTTGCTTTTTCCGCTGATTCCTTGTGATCAGACGTAATACTCGCGATACTAGGCGATTTAGATTTATCCAACGATTGTTCTGTGATATCTGTGAGATCAGCACTGCTAGGCGATTTCGATCGATCTTCGAGTCCCTTCAGATCACTTATCGCGATAGGTGATTTTGATTTTTCATCGGATCGTTCCATGACATCCTTTAAATCCGGTTTCTCTTCAGCAATACTCGGAGATTTAGAACGATCAAACTCCTTTTGTTCTCCTGTGATACTAGAAGATCTCGATTTCTCAGCGGTGACATCCTTTAAATCTGGCTTTTCTCCAGTTACACTTGGCGATTTCGAGCGATCCGCAATTTCCGCAACATCTTTTATATCCGGTTTTTCACCAGCGATGCTAGGTGATTTTGAACGATCTGGTTCTTTAGGTTCGCTAATACCGCTCGTCACACTAGGCGATCGTGATTTGTCCGATTGCATTATATCTTTCAGATCTGATTTATCTTTATCAGACTTCGGAGATTTTGGTACTTCGGGTGATTTCGCTGCTGGAGACTGTTCTAGTTTATCGTCCTTAACACTTGTGGCGCTAGGCGATCGGGTTTTCTCGATTGGCAAGTCCACATCTTTGATATCTATTTTTTCTACAGTAACGCTTGGTGATCTAGAACGGTCACTTACTTTCTTGCTATCTGATTTATCACTAGCTACACTGGGAGATCTATCTTTATCATGTGATTCTTCAGTCTTATCAATAGCTTTAGGCGAATCTGGCCTATCAAAAATAGGGGATTTTGGTTTCTCTAAATAACGCTCCGTCACATCTTGAAGATCCGGCTTATCCGCGGCTATGCTCGGTGACTTTGAACGTTTGGCTTCCTTCCTTTCGTCGGATTTATCGCTGATCGCGCTTGGAGATCTAGCTTCGTCAATTGGTCCCTTTTTATCATAATGTTCACTCTCGAAAATAGGCAACTTCTCACTTATCGTTTCTTTCTCAATGATACTAGGCGATTTCGGCTTATCAGTTTCTCTTTCATCAACTTTATCACTTAGAACACTAGGAGACTTATCGAGAGATTTAATATCTTGCTCGGATTTCTCTAAGGATAGCGGTAATTCTTTGTCTACGGCCGGTTTAATTTCTTTAATAGATTCAGATAATTTTTTAATGACTTCTTCGTCAGCAACGTCTTCTTCGGTAATAGGTGCCTTCGAAAAATACATTTCAGGTTTATCTGTGGGTGATTTCGAGAAAATCGTATCGGCTGGTGAAATGTCCTCTGAATGGAGTGATTCGGGTGTCTTCGGAACACCAATCGTTCCTTCTTTCTTAGGTTCTGGAAGCACCTTCTCAACTGGAAGTTTTGGTTTCTCGACTGATTCTATTGGAGATTTCTGTGTTGTCATATCAAGAGGTGATGGAGTTCGTGATTTCTCAATTTTTTCAATAGGAGAACCAGGTTTCTCGAGCTTTTCCTCAGGCGGAGATTTTACTTTCTCAATTTTTCCTGCGTCTCCCTTATCGGGAGATTTCAGTTCCTCTCGTTCCTCTTTAGGCGACTTCGATATATCTTTCTCGGCAATTTTATCCTTCAAGTCATCTTTCTCCACGGGAGATTTCGGCTTTGTAATATCCTTCAATTTTTCTGGCATCTGTGGCTTACGCGACTCCGATTTTTCCAAACTGTCTTCAAGATCCTGCGAATCACGAGGACCAACGGGTGATTTTTCCAAGCTATCGTCCGGACTAATCTTATCCTTACCTTCTGGCGCAGATTTTTCGGAAATGCTATCCTTCTCGGGAGTACTCATGCCCGAGTGCGAGTCCTTATCTAAAATTAAAGAATCTTTATCTGGTGTGGATTTAACGGACGCATCCTTAAGAGAATCATCTGGAGTGACGGTCTTCATGAAAGTTATACTGCCGGTTGGACAAATCTCAGTTTCTTCTCTGCCATCCTCGCTACATGATGTGACAAGCATCCTTTTGACAGTTCCATCGTCAATTTTTGCTGATATTTCTTGAGGGCTTTTCTCTTCTTTAGTTACTGGAGTTTCTTTAATTTCTACGGTCTCTAATAGTTTAGATTTCTTATCGTCTTCAAGTAGTTCTACTTTCGGCTCTTGTGTAAAGCCTGTTGCATCTGTAAGTTTTGTTTTCGGCTTCGCTCCTTCGGCAACTTTTTCAGGAACTTTTTCAATAGAATGCACAGTATCTTTTAATATTTCGTCTTTAATTGGACTTGTCGGTTTTGATTTATCCTCTTTTGCTTTAAGCTGTGGTTCCTCGACTTTTTCTTTAACCGCGGGCTCAATTTCTTTTATTCCAAGCTTCTCGTCAATTACCTCCGGGCTTGGTGTAATTGATTTAGAAATATCTGGTATGTCAATTGAGGGTCCCTTATCGGAGAAGTCCGTTTTTTCCTTAGCCTCGTCCAAATATTTTTCGGCAATATCCGATGTCTCGGATGCTTCTCGTTCTTTTCGTTTTCCATCAGCTGGTTTAATATCCTTTGTAATCTGAGGCTCCTCTTCTCCCACCTTTCCTTTAGTTTCTTGCACGAATTTCTCATCCGCCTCGATCACTTCACTCGTGGTATCTTCCACCGATTCTTCAACGTCTTCCTTTTCTTTCATTTCGTCCGCTTTATCGGGAGATGTGACTGGTACATCACGTACTTTATATTCTTGCTCGACAGCTTCGAAGTCGTCAATTACGTCTTTCTCGTGCTCCTTCGTAACCGCAGGCGAAATATCTGAGATTGCTTTCTTCTTTGCGTCAGTCGCATCGGAAATTCTTCTAGGTATACTAACAAATCCATCCACTTCCTCCTCGACGTCCTCCTCTTCAGACAGGGCCGATAATTCCTCGTCAGTGCTCGTTTCTCGCTCATCCTCCTTTTTGTCTTTTTTCAATTCAATCGGAATTTTTATCTCTTCGGAGCTGGGCACTTCAGCGATCGATTTCTCAGCCAATATTTGAGGTTCTGGAATCGCTACCTCCTCGATAATGCGCGATAATTCTTCTGCGGTTATACTAAGTACTGCATGCCTCGGCATTTTCCTTTTAATAATAATTTCTTCAATAATCTCGATAATGATTCTTTTAGGCACCTTCTTCTTACCACAGATTTCTTCAAGTTTTTTAACATTAATGTTATCTCCTTTGGTAACATATTCGTTAACAATAAATTCCTCAACCTCCGCTCTTTTTTGCGAAGTTATCGATTCTGTTTTCGGAATTTCAGCGACTAAATTTTCTTTCTCGTCCTCAGGTGTCTTTTCAGATAGTGTTAATAACTTTCCCTCGGTAACATCAAGTAACGTGTTCCTGGGAATCTTTTTTTTAATAACAATCTCTTCAATAATTTCGATGAGGATTCGCTTGGGTACGATCTTCTGAGCAGAAATTTCGTCGATTGTTGATGCGGTAATCTTTTTCCCTTTAATAACATACTCATTGACGATAAATTCCTCAACCTCTGCTCGTTTCTGAGCACTAGGAACTTCAGCAACGGATTCTCGTTTCGCAGTTATGTCTATTTTCGGTGTTATCTGCTCCTCTGCCGATTGTTCTGGAGATTCTTCCGGCGATTTCTCTTTAACTATTTCCGATAATACTTCTTCAGGAACATCTAGTATCATATGTCTGGCAATCTTTCTCTTAACAATGATCTCTTCGATAATTTCGACGACAAACTTCGTAGGCACAACTTTTTTAATTGAAATTTCCTGTATGACTTCTATAGTAATTCGCTTTCCTTTGACGATGTATTCGTTAACGATATATTCCTCGATTTCCATTCTCTTCTCAGGCGTGATAGATTCCTTCAAGCTCAGAATTTTGGGATCGTCTACCACGCTCTCTCTGGGAAGTCCCTTCTTTATGATAATCTCTTCGATAATGTAAATCACGCGTTCCCTCGGGATGCGCCTCATTACGGTAATATATTCGATCACTTCGATAGTAATCTTTTTCTTTTTCGTGATAATCAATTCCTCGATTGTTTCTTCAATAGGCGCTTCCCTGCTAAGAATTTGCTTGATATCCTCCGGCAACTTGGGAGGCTCTCGAAAACCGATTTCCAATCCTTCACCGTATATCTTGTCCACGACGAATTTCGGCGAAGTCGGTGTAGAACCGGGAGTCACCATCACTATCTCCGCCTTCGCTGGCGAGACCTTTTGCTCGAAGCCGATCACGGGCTCCTCTATCTCCTCATCCTCCAGCCTCTCTTCAAAAGACGGCCGTTTCGCCACTTTCTTCACGCATACGTCCTCGATACCAGCCTGCATCACATCCATACGAGACGTATCATCGTCCGCCGATTTTTTATGCTGATCGCAAACATGTTGATCGTCCTTTAATATCTCTGCACAAATTTTTTGCGCATCCTGCTTATCCTTTGTTGTATCCTTCACAGGCGATGTCACTATATCATCCTTTTCCCTCACAACTTTTATGAAAGGTTCTTCCTTTACCTCGATAGCGCCAGGTTTTTCGTACGGCGTCACAAGTTTATCGAGCTTCTCAATAAATTCCTCGTGCGCTTCATGAACCGGAACATGTGGTACCGAAGTTTGAGCGTGAGCAAGTTTGCTATACCAAATTTCCTCCTCTTCTAATTTAGCGACCTTCTCTGGAGATTTTTCACCTGATACGGAAGGCTTTCTTTCTGCCGAAATTGGAGCGATTTCTTCTTTCGACGGTTTTCTGTCCGTCGAAATCGGCGAGGTCTCTTCTTTCTTAGGTTCTTGATCGAACAGCGTTTTGTCAGAAAGAAAATCGTCTTCTCTGAGAACCTCGGCGACTTTCTTCACGATCATCTCAACATCCTTAGGTTTCTCTTCAAGCTCGATGCCGGCAACACCAGCAAGGACTTCTCCGACATCCCTAACTGCTTCTTTCATGTCTCTGTAAGGCCCCTCTATTTCCTCTTCATATTCTTCTTCAAATTCTTCGTCCTTTGGTATAGCAAATTTGACTTTCTCCGGTTCTTTTATGTCGGGCAAGTGACTCTCGATATGTGGCTTAATCTCTTCCAACTTCTCAGCCACCCCTGCCAAAGTATCTTTTACTGCATCCTTCAAGGCGGCTGGGGTTTCATGTACCTCTGCTATCTCCTCTTTAATTTTATCTTCCAAAGATTCCAACGAATCTCTTAAACTATCTTTCACAGTTTTGAATTTTTTCGAGGCTTCTTCCAAAAGTGCCTTTACCTCTTCTACATCTTCTCCGACGTCTTCTTCCTTCAAAAGTTCAATCTCTTTTGCAATTTCCTTATCGTCAATTAATTTCGCCGGCGAAATAGCTTCTACTATTTTAATCTCATCCAACTTGTCAGCTGGAAGTTTCTCTTCGATATCCGGCACACTTCGTCTTTGCGCGTCCATTATTTCTTCCTGTATAAACGTCGCGGTTTCCTTGATAGCAGCCACTTTCACGTCAGCAATCGTAGGTTTCACTTCTTCAAATGTTTCAGGTTTGTCAGTAGGCTTGCCGACTTTAGGGAACATTTTTTCCATATCGACCTCCTCCAAGAATACTTTCTCTTGCACTTTCGGCTCTTTCGGAGAACTCGATTTCGAGGAAGATTTTTCGTCGGAATCCTTCTCGGAATCCTTTTTCTTTTTTGTCAATTTATCAATACCTTTTTCAAATTTATCCGCCACCTTGCCAAAGAAGCTGAAGACACCCTTTTGCTCTTTCCCGGTTGGAGTGGGCGGTTCTTTACTTTCCTGCGCAGTCGGTGATGGCTTTTCCTCTTTTCTTTTCTCGAAATCGTCCATTCTGTAAAGTTTAGGATCGACTTCTTCATGAACTGGGAGATCGGCAACCTCATCGGGTGTTTTAACGATGTCTCTTTGCAAATTCTGCGTTGCCTGGCGAACATCAAAAACTTTAACTTCCGGCTTAGCGGCCGCGAAAACAGTTTCCGGAACGACCTCCTTCTTCAATTTTGCAGGAGCGTCCTTCTCCTTTACCTCTTCAATAACATGTTTCTCGTCAATATCCTCTTTTATTTCATCCAACGGTATTCGCTCGTCTTCAGGTAAAGTCGGAGCGGTTGTAGTGGCCCCCGATTCTATTGTCGAAATTCGTTCCTGAGACTCCTCCATCTTTTCAAGAATATTCTCCTTCTGATCGGCATCCGGCTTCATGTCCGTATCGGTCGTTTTTTTCTCCGATGAATCTAATTTATCCGGACTTAAACTGGATGGCTCTTTCGTGATTTCCTCGCTGTCCTTCTTACCGGACTCGTCCTTTTCTTCGGCTTTCTGTACGATTTCGGCTGCGGATGCTATTATCTCTTTTACTTCTTCCTGTAATTGTTCTTTATGTTCCGACGATAATCCAGCGATTTCTTTTTCTTTTTTATCCACGATCTTTTCTGCTTTCTTTTCTGGACTGTCGTCTTTTCCTTTCTCCTCAGGTTCCTCTTTCTCACCCTTTTCTTTCATTGCCTCTACGTCTTTCAGTATTTTTGCCTTTTCTGACTGGGCTTCGTCGAGAACGTGCTTTTGTTCGCCCTCGCCGCTCTGAGCAGAATCCTCGGTGTAAACCTCTTCCTTCTCTACGATAAGATATTCATCTTCCTCAGTCAATTCCTGACTTTCTTTTCTAGAACTTTCCTTCTTGGGCACGTCTTCGATCTCTGCTGTGACATCCTCCTCCGTGATATCCTCCTCCTTCTTATCGGCTTCAGCAGTAATTTCATCATCACCCTCGAAACGATCGTCCTTTTTGTCTTCAATTCTTTCCGCCTTCTGTAAAACAGCTTCAATTTCTTCGACTACCTCCCGCTCTTCCTTGAGGTCCGCCAGCACTTTACTTTCAATAGAATCTAGTGACATATCTTCAGATTGCTCGACTAAGCTCTTATCGATCGGTTTTACGGCTTCTGGTTCTATGCCAGACGGAGTGGAGACCGTGGACGAGTCGGTGGTGCCTTTGTCGCCCTTCACTTTACGAATAACACCGTCTTTATCCGATTTTACAGAAGCGGTCGGAGTACTGCGAGTAGATTTCGCCGGGCTGCCCGGTAGACGAGCTTTATTGGGACTGATCGGTTTCGCGCGACGGACGATCGGCTTCCTGTCCATCGGCTTAGGTTTCGCGGAGACCTTGACAATGGGCGCCGCAGTATCCTTCACGGCGGACTTCTCGACCTCGGACTTCTTTTGTTCCACCACTTTCCTGTTGTTGGCCTCCTTGGCGCTTTTGGCTGGAAGACTTGGAGCGACCTTGGCCGCCGGTTTCGCCTTCGGCACAGCTTTCGATAACTCCGTCTTCGTTGCAGCACCGTTCAGAGTCTTCTTCGGGGTAGTCGGGGAAGACTTTACGGCGTCTCTCTTTTCCGCCCCGGAAGGTTTGGCTTTTTTTTCAATCGGCTTTGGCTTCGGAGTTACTTCGCTCTTCTTCAATTCGACTTTTACCTTGCTTTCTTTTGGTTCTTTCTTTTTTGGCTCAGGCTTAGGTTTTGGCTCCTTGGTCTTCTCGGGCTCCGATTTGATTAAATCAATTTTTTTCACATCATCCTCTCGTTTTTCGGGCTTCTCCACTTTAATCGGCTCTTTCTTCGGCTCCTTCTTTATCTCTTTCAATTCCTTTTCAATTTTCTTACTCTCCTTCGCCTCGATTTCGAGCTTCTTGTTCTCCACAACTTTTTTCGTCTTTATCGGCTCGGTCTTGAGTTTACTCGTAGATATAATCGGCGTCGATTGAGGGATACTCTTGGATACAGTCTCGTCCGCGGCCTTAATGGACTTGGGTTCCGACGGTTCTCTCTTCTCTTTCTTCGGCTCCGAAATTTTCTTGGGCTCCTTCTCGATAAGACTGAATTTCTGCTTGGCTGGCTTGAGCGTCGTCAAGGACACTGACGGTGACAATGTCTTCGCTGAACATACCGGATGCTTCAAGAAGTCCAGACGTTTCAATCGTTCAAAACCTTCGAAGATCTTGTGCTGCGGCGTACTGCCGGGAAACAGAATCCTCGTGATATTGTCCTCGGGATTGGCCGGCTGCCAGACCAGAAGCGCGCATATCGAGACAAGATTCTGGATCGGGAATGTGAGAGTGTTCGAATCCTTCTTGTGAGAACCTGCGAACAGCTTCGAGTCCGACGTGTGCCACTTTGCCAGGAACTCGCGCACCTCGCGACTATCCTTGCTCGGACTGAGCACGTACATATCCAGCGTGCCGTGGCCCACCTTGTGATAGAGGTTGATAGGATTGGGATCTCTGTAGCAAGGATGAGCGCGAAGGTTAACGTGTCGAAGGTTCATCACCATCTCTTGACCAATGTCGGTGAGATTGAGAACGAGCGGATCGATGTCCTTATCGCCGTCGGGTGAATTTGATTGTCTTCTTTCCTGCATTATGTATATTTTTGTTGAGAAAATGTTATAACAAAATGTTTTTTAAGAAGGATTTTAATTATTATTGTAAAAGATATTTCTTTAAAAAAAAAAGTCTTAAAATAACTACTTACAACTAAGTTACAGAAGAAATGGCCGATCTGAGGGTAGACGTGCATCTCTTTCTTTTTGTGAAGAACACTAAACATGCCGCCGATGTTACTATTATTTATCCTAGTGACTAGAACAGCATCCAATCGGTCGAGATGCCTGGTGAAGTCCCAGAAGCATGCTTTCCTGGCGAAACCGCCGTCGACGAGCATGTTGAAGCCGTTTATACCAAAAAGCGCGGCGTCACCTTGCCCACCGGGGAAGACGTATAAGGTCGGATGGCTAAATCTAATGTTTCCAACGACGTCGGACGGTTCCATGAGCTGGTCTAGTGTTTGCGGCACGAGATACTGTCCGATGTAATTCGTAAAACTCATGATGGCCGGTACGCCGGCTGTGAGAACATCGTCGGGGTTCACTCTGACAGATCTGCAAGATCTGTTAATACGAAGGACGTAAAATATTCAAGAAAGAAATACAATATATTATCTATATTTTTTATTTTAATTTTTCGCGTGTAGCGTCCTATTTTCGTTACGCATGAAACAGTTTCTATTGTGCGACGCAAATCGGAATTGTTGATATGAAAAAATGCGCGAGAGATACTCACCTGCAACATGCCTCCTTCGATAATCGACTTGTCGTCCAATCGCCGACACCCGCGCAATGTATATCTACGGTAACGCTATTCTCGTAGGCACGAAGGACTCTTTGCACTTCATGTTCACTGAACGCATCCAGAAAGTCTGCGAGACTGAAGGTTCCATCCTAAATAACAGTTCGTCGATTTGTAATTTAAGACGGTTAATTCTCCGCTAGTATTTCCCGCGACTAATTAACGTCTTCACAGTCATTGACAGACGAATTCATACAAGGTATAAGTACCTGCAATATCCAGGAACCATTGCCACCGAATGTATATCCAGCGTGTATGATGTGCCGATGTTTCGTGAAGCTCGCAAGGAGATTGCGAATACATTGTAATAATGTATTCGTCTGCGGGTGAATGAGAACCTCTGTCACGAGGTTCTCGGTGGCATATTGGATCAATCTTTCGCCTGAAATTTTCATTTCATCACTCACTAATCACATAACATAAATATAACTAATTAAATGTAATACAATGTAAAACAAATCAAATCAATACGTTTGTGACGATAATTACCGTTTCTGGCTTCCTCGCCTTCGGGGGCTTGCGCTACTAAGGCCGATAATTCCTTTTCCAGATCTACGTGACAACTGTCCTTGTCCCATGATAGAAAACCTGCAACCATCGAAGAAAAAGACGGCGATCTCTAAGTATAGCTGAACTTTTAAATCTTCTTCATACATGTTAACACAGACACCGATATCGAAAAACTTATGGATTGGAATCTGCATATAAATCTGTTCATCTTCAAGATTGAGTGTAACTTTAGGTATTCCGGCGACATGCTCTCTCATGAACTTGGCCAGGCTTTTCCGAGCCTGGCCCTGATATTTTGAATGGAAAGTAGGTTGTTCTCGTTTTAGATCATCGCTGTATATGCGCGGACACATTGAACTAGAGAAGTCGGCTCACCGAAATTCGCTGTAGGCGGATATCTACATCTCGAAAATATATGGACAACAGGGAAAAAGTACGTAATCTGGGAATTGCGAATGTCATTCAGTTTTATAAGATATAGTTTCTCCTAAAGAAAATTTTTTTAAACGTTGCTTAAGAAAGATATTTTAAATATTGCTTTATAAAGTCTTTTTAAACACCACTCGAGTGTAAGACGTTTATAGGTGAATGGTAGTAGGTCATAACTGCGTATAAATGTGCAAGACTGCAGCGATTTGGCTTCATAGAATAAGGGTAGTTCAGCCACCAATCGAGTGACGTAAGGTTAAGGTTAAGATGTCAGAGGCTGTCAAAACCAGTTACAAGTTGATTGATGAGAAAAGTAAATTAGATATCACATTATAAGCATAGCGCAATTTCCTTTGTTGTATATCAATAAACGCGTGATGCAGATTGAAATAAATATAAAAAATATAAATATACATCTTTATTTAATTACTTAAAACGTTTGCGCTAATTTCCAATTGCAATTATAATTAGATGGTTTCATTCAATATTACGTTTAAAATTAAATGAATGTCATTTGTGTTAAAATTAATGAATTATTTTTACTTCAAGCAGTTCAAAGAGAAAAAATTATATTACGTATAAAGATATAATTAACACATTAATGGACGAGGATTGTACAATTGTCTATTTATAATTATTATTATATTAAAATATTAATAAATGTTTTGCTTAGAATTTTCCGAATTATTTTACGAATGTGAAAGTGTTAATTACAAATTGCATCACGCACAGTTAATGCAAGAAAAGAAAAGAGAAAGTGCATCTCAAAACTTAATTGAATAATTAGGATGAATGAATCAGCAGTCGCAGTTTGTCATGAGGGTTGCTTGGGGCGGTCGTTTTATGACGTCACCGACACCGCACCCCGTCACGTGGTTCCTTACCAGCTGGCAATCGATCGTCGCACATCCTGTACCCACCCTCTATTGCCAACTTTAACGCAGAGATACTTCACTTGACATTGTACAAAAAAAAAGTGTCCGATGCTCTTAATCATGCCCTTTTAAATAAAATTTAAAATAATTATAAATGCGTGTGGAAACGACAAGAAAAAATTTTTAAAAATCGGAAATAAAAGGAATTATTCTTAACATGACTAGTATATTATTATGTTTTGTAAAAAATATATACTGAATGCGTCATATATGTACATTGAATTTCAAGGTTTTGGTAGCAACATTTATATTTCAATTCTCTGCAATTTCGGTAAATTGATTTTATCGTTTCAATATTTCATAATTCAATTCAAGTGCAAGGCTTTTCTTAGACCTCCTTCCATAGTCGGAAGTGTTGAAAAAAATTCCACCTGGCATCTTGTATGGAATTAAAAGATTGATGATACAGCACAATGGAACGTAACTCGTTGCCAAGGGAGAGTTCGGACTCGCTCTCTCGTAATTCTATACTGGCGTGTATGTACACAGACAAGTCTGGTTCGAGACGTTGCCTGGCAACGTCGTAGTATCAATCAATGCCGAGGATAGAGAGGAGCCGGAGAAAATTAACGAAAAAGAAAGAAAAAAGGGGGAAGGAACGAGCAGAAGGCGTTAGAGCAACGAATTCCGCGCGGCTTCCTCGCTGCCTCCAATTTTATCCCGCAATAAGTAAATACGTGTTGCATACTTTTCAGTAAACGTGGACGCTATTATTAGCCACTCGAGTACTCGACTGACGAAACATATATCGCATTTTCGCGAAATTACATTCGAAACCGCGAAGTACGCAAAATATGAATTATCCGAACGCATATAAATTGTCAAAACAAATTCGTTAAATTGAATTGATTGATCAGTTACGTTCCATTAAGCTTTTTGTGTAATTTTTACTATTACAGCTTTTGAACAATAAAATATTCGATCAATTTAGCAGATTAATGTTAAAAGAAAAAAATTATTTAGGCAATATATTGAAAAGACTGCATGTCAATTATATCGAGTCTTATCTGACAGCGAAAAGTCACATTGTCAGAGCCGGAACACATCGAGCGTGCTTGACGTGCTCAAACTGATCTGAAGCCCCAAAGCTGATACGAGAGAAGCCGTTTCTTAATGCTCACAGCTGGGTGGCGTTACTTAATTCTCACTGACCCCCACGGGTTTTGACTACAATATCAGTATCAGAAACATCGCGACTGAGCCCGAAAATTTGCATAGGACAAGTCTCCTTGAACGAAACGTTCAGTCGCGCGCATCCGATTCGATTTTTTTAAGATATAAAACGCATCAATCAAGGCTCGAGAACAGTTTTTTATAATATAGATTTTGATGAACATGCAAAAATAATTTTCGTATTCATTAGGAAAAATAAGTCCATCAAAATTAAGATTTTAATTCATGATTGATGATTCATAGGGCACGGCTTATTATGAATTCTTATCAATTGATATCGACAGATTAATGAATTAAAACTTAAATGAAATTTTCTAAAGTGTTTCATGTTTTATTTACACATATAGCTCGTCCGAATGAATTAAAACTTAAATGAAATTTTCTAAAGTGTTTCATGTTTTATTTACACATACAGCTCGTCCGAATGAGCTTCCAAATAGATAATGTTCTTGCGTAATAGGTAAGTTTCTCTCTGCTTATTATCGCAATGAAGCCTCTAATTGATATCAATATATGCTCTGCGACATGTTAGATTATCGCATTGGCTACTTATTTACTATTTTAATAAATTCGATCATTCAAAACGGATAGTGTTGGCCCATCGATGATTATCATGTCTGGTCGTGGTTATCATTTAGCCAATTAGCAGAATCAAAATACCGTTAATTAAGCCGCGCGGCTTTCATGAGAGCATCGACTCGTACAATTGCTCGATAATTCGCAAAGTACCGATTAACAAAAATAGAACTAACTAGCAACAGAAAAGAGAAGACAAACACCGAACAAATCAATACTCCAGCATTCCAGGTTTTAGAAACGTTTCTCTCAATTTTCCAGACTCGCTAAACGTTCACAAAACGATCGCTTTTGTAGATCAGTAATTTATTTTATTAATGGCCATGCACACCAAGAATAAATTCGGGTTGCAATTGCAGTTAAAGGCAGCCTGGCCCGTTAATTAAAACAGATGTTTTAATTAAACTGTCCACGAGCTTTGTATAACGCTTCGCGAATTTCCGTTCGACGGGATGAATCATCCGCGCGAATCCGAAGAAACCGCGCGGAATCCGAAGCACGGAGTCAAGTAAATCGCTCGTGAAAAAGGAAAACCGCGAAAAAATTCAGCCGCGAGCTTTCGATAAATGGAGCGGAAAAACGTTGCGACGTTAAAGTGTCGCTCGAATAAAATGATACCTGCCGTCGAGTGGACGAGAAATGGCGCTGGATAATCCGTCAGTGATTTATCTTGCAAATACTAAAGGGCGCGTTTATTCTACCGAAAAAATCCCCGGCTTTAATCGCGAGAACGATATATATTTCGTTATCCGCGCCATGTAATACGCGGAGTACATGCGAACAGCACATACAACGCGGCGCACACATTTTCACCAGAACAGGCCGCGGACGTATCCCAGCGTATTCCGCGGTTTCCTGCTTTAGAGCGTGACGTTCTGACACGTCGCTTGTATCATACGTACAATGGGGATGTATGTATCTAAATAGGCGATCGCGTCGTGTGAAAAGTGTAGGAGGATTGTCCGTGCGATCGACCGCGGTAATATATATATATATATATATATATGGCGCGCGTCACAATATATTACATTTACAAAAAGGGGAAAAAATCCAAGGCCAGCTTTGTCTAACAAGGTTTCCTCTCCGGTACGAGAGCTAACTTGCTCGCGTCCTCCCTGACCTATAATATTTCTGCACCAAGCGATATTGTATTTTTTTTCTCTTTCGAACCGGCGTCGCAAAAATAAAAATGTGTCAACGTCATTAGACGTAATTCGATGTAATCATCGCTCGAGAGGATTTCCATCGGCTCCTGTCTTCCCTCCCCGTAAGTCTCACGTGGAAGAAATATTTGACACTCGATGTCCCTATGGATTAGCAGCTTAAGCTAAGTATAGACAAAACTGCTGCGTGCGGTTTCCTCGCGGTAGCTCCCGCTTCGCGCATCCCTTAGGAACAACTCGTGTTTCTCGATTTGCACATTTGACTTTCCCCTCTTTTTTCTCTCTCTCTCTCTCTCTCTCTCTCTCTCTCTCTCTCTCTCTCTGGCCGACGACGGATGCCGGGAATGCTGGGTTTGTCCCGACTATGTTTAGAAATGGTTTCTCGTTGTCCTGCCTGCAACGCGCCTACATGTCACGTTGCGCGTAGTAAGTACACGTGCGACATAAAGTATTGCTTTAGCAGCCGGAAAAAAGAGCGCATAACCGTACACGTATTGTATCGATCGATCGAAATTTCTTCTGTAAAATTGTATTATGAGAATTCGAGATTAGGTAAAAGAGCAATGCATGTTCGACCGCAGTGTAATAAAAATTGTAAATGGAATATCGTATACATCCACTGTAAATGTAAACGTGCTCCGGTATTCCAATATCTTAAGAATATATCGCGAATATCGGCTAAACTGAAATATAAGCGGACGTAAAGCCTTTGTAATGTAAGAGGGTCAAAATGTTTTCAAGCAAATCACTGACATCGTTCCCGATTAATCTCTCGGGAAGAAATGTCAAAGAGAAGGTCGATCATGACCCGTTATTTCGGCTCGTGTTTCGACATAGATAATTCATAAGCGTTCCATTGTGCAGATATTACATGCAAAATTTCGCAAACAAATAACTGCTTCGAAAATAATAAAGATAAAAAATTATTAATCTTTTCTCGCGGTAATTTTATTTTTATGTATAACGTAATACTTTTTTTGTATTTAATATAATAATGCGACATAATTACGTGGTACGTGTCAATACCTATGTGAGAGCGTGTAAGTTCCGTGTGCTATAAGGATATTTGATCGAGTAGAGAGTTTGACAGGCCGAAAGTAGATCCGGGAGGAGGGAGAGAAGGAGGAGGCAGAGAGAGGAAAATAGTAGCGGATATTCAGAAATGCAGTGTACGACCTCGGCAGAGGGAGCATAGAGATCGACCTAGCTCACACACTCGTTGCTATTTATATTTCCAAGACAAGGGCGAAGACCTGGATCAAGGATTGAGAGTGGAAGTGACAGGGGCGGCTTCTTTTTGCTCCGAAAGGTCGTCGTAAAAGAGGAAACGTAATGGAGGCGACATTTTATCGAGAGAGATTATATTCGTACAGAATTATAAAGTATCGTACAATTTTTAAAAAAATCGAACATCTCACTTTTGTTACATACTCTCCTATTTTCTTCATTTTATCCCATCTTTTATTTTCTCGCGCGTCATCGTTGTGAAATGTTAGGAATGTAAATTACAATAATTTATGACATTTTTTCGCGATATCCCGCGTGTATATTTCGAATGTGGCACAGATGAGGACAAAGCAGTCGGTAGAATTGAAATAACAAACGAGCTAAATGTAGCAGGGATATGACGGGAGCGCGGCATGAAAAATCGCGGTATCACTATTCTCCATCTCGGTCAATATTTTACGCAATACCGTGTACGCACGCAATATTTAAAAATCGTACTTGACAACTCAGACAGAAACATATTTTCATTCTGTTGATTTTTTTATACCGCAGCTTCGTGCTAACCATAAATATTTTCTATTTTCCGGAATACGAGTTATACAAACGAAAATTTTAATTAACAGATCGTACGGGAGAGAAGACCAAAGACAAAATCAAAAATATCAAAATCATTTGCGCAAAATAATAATATTCACGTGAGGAAATATCTACTTGTGGAACACAAAATCGGACACCTGAACAACTCGAGACTCGCTCATTCCATTTAATAACTTCAAATTATAGTGATTGCGCCGCATTTGCGATGTGACACCGATTTATCCCGCGTTACATTATTCAGTAGGAATTGCCATCCATTGGGATAAACGGACGAGGCGCACGAATGCGCCGGTACGGCCAATTGGACCGGCGCATAAACCCAACTGATCAAGAAGCGTGTACTTTGTGTCGACGATTTA